TTTTTTAAATAAGTGAAAGTGTGAATTTCATTGTTTTTATCGTATATTTTTGACTGTGATTTTAAATGAGGCTATTTTATATTATGGACTGATACTGCGCTCTTTTCCTTTATTTATCTTCATGATATGAATTTTTGAAAGAAGAAGAAACCTTATAAAGTGAACTTTGAAACTGTAAAACGAATGGAAGTAAAACACCATCACCCGTTATGGAGAAAATGATTAGGAGGACAACATCTCGGTACCTTCGGTTACCGTAACGAAAAAGAGGCATGGAACGCACACGCTGTGCTGGTGGGCGGCACTAGCGTGTCACGAGGGATTGTACCGATCATTTACCGGCCGATTTGAGGAGATTTAAACCGATGAAGGGAACCCAGAAATATTCATCATTTTTATCTGGCTGAGGAAGCCAATTAAAATTGGCGAAACGCGTTCCAGTTTTTCAAGCCGATATAGGCATTTTAATTTTGTATGTATATTTAATAAAATTGTTCTTTCTATTTTTACACAAATTGGTTCCAGCTTTTACTTTTCAACAAAGAAGGAGTGCAGTCCTTGATCTGCACAATGCGGGTTTATTGAGTCATATTCTTATGACTCCAACATTGTGAGTATTGACTCTTGAAATTTTATATTCTCATATCTATATATCCAAACGATACTGCGCAATTGGTGGTACCCCCTGTTGTGTTTTTTAGAGAAAAAGGAAAAGACATCAATAATAGGGGTGCATCGCCTAAACGTATCCAAAGAAACATTAACCTGGAGCTGGGGCATAGCTCCACGTCTGTGAGTTTAAACATTAGCAGTTCGTTTTTATTAAATTTATTGTGTGATCTGCACTATGTCAGATTGTCTTTTACAGATATTAAATTGAGACATCCGAATTATCTTCATTTAAAACCATTTAAAAGGTGATTTACTATTTCTTCTTTTTTAATAAGCGCTACATTCATATATTTTGTATTGTTTTTTTGTGTATGACATTGGAAGGGGTCATTTGAATGTTTTAGCAGCTGAATTTAATTTATTTATTTTTTCATATGGTCTATTACTGATTGAATTTACAAGCACTGGTTTCTTTAAAACGTTGGTGAAATCATCAACTACCTCGGTTTCCTGTCCGACATTCCCACATAATGTCCCGACATTCCCAATCTCTTCCCGGTAGCTTGCCTTCAAGAATACGAAAAACGAACCTGGGAATTCAGGAGTCCAGTACAACAAGAATTGTTTTTAGCCTACAAAATGCCTCATTACCCGGTATCCACGATAACGCTAGCCCGATGGGTGAAATGGATAATGACCTTGGCGAACATGGATACATTTATATATGGTGCTCATTCTACTAGAGGAGCCATGGCTTCAAAGATTTTCAATTTGGGCTGTAGATTGGAAGACCTTCTCAGAACGGCGGATTGGTCCCGTGAATCTACGTTTAGAGAATACTATTTTAGACCTACAGAACATGTTTCATCTGCGTTTTTTTCACAGCTTTAAACTAGCCTAATAAGAGCCTCCGTGTCCTTTAATACAATTACCAGATTTTACTAATTACATGACGTAAAGTCATGATTTTATTAAGGACACAGAGGTGAGTATTAGTCCACCCAGATATGGTAAGTTTGGACTTTTTGTATCCCAACCCAGATATGTGAGAAGTTGTTCATAGTACATGGTGGAGTCTTTGTCGTTTAATGCCTGGCTCTTAAAAATTTCAACAGTTACCATAGAAATGTGTGATTCAGATAGTAAAGGATTATATTTAGGATGGTTTAATACTATGATAATATGAAAATAGTTGGGAGAACATATTTTACCATTTGTTCTCTCTGTCCCCCTCTAGCCTGAAAGTAATGACATCATGACAACATCGACATCTTCCACAGTTCGAGAGGATCACTTCCGAAGATCCAGCTCTCTGTAGGAAGGATCCGTCACCAAGAATTTCGGTTACCTGCACGTTCTCTGATGTTTCAGTTGATTGGTTAATTGCGGTTATTAAATATTAGCTTCGGCATCAACAGGAAAGAGGAAGAGATGGGGGTCACATGGGGCTATATGATATTTGGACTGTTCCTATTGGATAGAATATAGTGATGTAATGGTTTAACCCTGTGAGGGTATTTTGTTCATTTTTTCTACAGGGAGTGCAGAATTATTAGGCAAGTTGTATTTTTGAGGATTAATTTTATTATTGAACAACAACCATGTTCTCAATGAACCCAAAAAACTCATTAATATCAAAGCTGAATATTTTTGGAAGTAGTTTTTAGTTTGTTTTTAGTTTTAGCTATGTTAGGGGGATATCTGTGTGTGCAGGTGACTATTACTGTGCATAATTATTAGGCAACTTAACAAAAAACAAATATATACCCATTTCAATTATTTATTATTACCAGTGAAACCAATATAACATCTCAACATTCACAAATATACATTTCTGACATTCAAAAACAAAACAAAAACAAATCAGTGACCAATATAGCCACCTTTCTTTGCAAGGACACTCAAAAGCCTGCCATCCATGGATTCTGTCAGTGTTTTGATCTGTTCACCATCAACATTGCGTGCAGCAGCAACCACAGCCTCCCAGACACTGTTCAGAGAGGTGTACTGTTTTCCCTCCTTGTAAATCTCACATTTGATGATGGACCACAGGTTCTCAATGGGGTTCAGATCAGGTGAACATGGAGGCCATGTCATTAGATTTTCTTCTTTTATACCCTTTCTTGCCAGCCACGCTGTGGAGTACTTGGACGCGTGTGATGGAGCATTGTCCTGCATGAAAATCATGTTTTTCTTGAAGGATGCAGACTTCTTCCTGTACCACTGCTTGAAGAAGGTGTCTTCCAGGAACTGGCAGTAGGACTGGGAGTTGAGCTTGACTCCATCCTCAACCCGAAAAGGCCCCACAAGCTCATCTTTGATGATACCAGCCCAAACCAGTACTCCACCTCCACCTTGCTGGCGTCTGAGTCGGACTGGAGCTCTCTGCCCTTTACCAATCCAGCCATGGGCCCATCCATCTGGCCCATCAAGACTCACTCTCATTTCATCAGTCCATAAAACCTTAGAAAAGTCTTGAGATATTTCTTGGCCCAGTCTTGACGTTTCAGCTTGTGTGTCTTGTTCAGTGGTGGTCGTCTTTCAGCCTTTCTTACCTTGGCCATGTCTCTGAGTATTGCGCACCTTGTGCTTTTGGGCACTCCAGTGATGTTGCAGCTCTGAAATATGGCCAAACTGGTGGCAAGTGGCATCGTGGCAGCTGCACGCTTGACTTTTCTCAGTTCATGGGCAGTTATTTTGCGCCTTGGTTTTTCCACACGCTTCTGCGACCCTGTTGACTATTTTGAATAAATAAAACGCTTGATTGTTGGATGATCACGCTTCAGAAGCTTTGCAATTTTAAGAGTGCTGCATCCCTCTGCAAGATATCTCACTATTTTTGACTTTTCTGAGCCTGTCAAGTCCTTCTTTTGACCCATTTTGCCAAAGGAAAGGAAGTTGCCTAATAATTATGCACACCTGATATAGGGTGTTGATGTCATTAGACCACACCCCTTCTCATTACAGAGATGCACATCACCTAATATGCTTAATTGGTAGTAGGCTTTCGAGCCTATACAGCTTGGAGTAAGACAACATGCATAAAGAGGATGATGTGGTCAAAATACTCATTTGCCTAATAATTCTGCACTCCCTGTATATTATAAATACCTTAGCTTTCTTTGCTGCTGAGGAATAAAAGAAAGAGATAAGCTTAATACTCGCCTCCATGTCCTTAATAAAATCATGACTTTACGTCATGTAATTAGTAAAATCTGGTAATTCTCCAAGAAATCTGCCTTCGATTTTGTCCATTTATGTTCCCGTATCCTTCCTGGCTAGCCTTTTTTGTAAGTATGGCTTGCATTTGAATTCTCAGTTGAACCAAATTTGTAGGTGGATAACTGCCAATTCTGTATGATTATCTCTGTATGTGAGCTTTCAGTTGTGTAATTCCATTATTCAGTTCTGAATTTCAGCTTGGTTGTATCTGGTCTACATTCAATATAATTCAGGGGCTGCAAGGGAAAACGTAGATATTGGTAAACTTTGAGAATAATATCTGGATTTTCCAAATTGTGCCTGATTATTTTTGCAAATCTACACCCGGAGCATTTAAACTTTATATTAAATAATCTACCAACTTTTCCAGCTACTGTATGATTCTTACATAGACTTCTATCAAAATTAATATAGTGAATCTTTTAAGTTTGTATTTTGCTCTAGATATTGCACATGCAATGCTAAATATTTTTGTTTTGTGACACACGATTCATTCATTTTGTTTTAGACTCAAATACAAAAAGGCCATATAAATATATTTACACCCTTTTTTATTTAAAAAAATGTAATGTTTATTAAAAATAACAGTACAACAGTACATTTCAAACTAAGTACAATTTGTTGTATAGACTTATTAGCCAACTATATATAGTTATATTATAAATATGTCTGATGAACTACAAAAAATACTTTAAGCTTCTTTAATAAAAAAAAAAAAAAATTGTAAAAGAAAATGAGATTTTACACTTGAGTTATGTTCAATGTAATTTTTCTATCTTAAACTTTGCTGTTCAATATTGGTTACATTATTGTAGACTCGAAGAAGATGTATGCTTTTGATAATAAGTGCTGGATAACAAATGCCTCTCAGGTTAATTGTTAAAGGGGATGTGACAGTTAAAACAATGTCTCAAACTACAGTCTTAAATAAACGCAAGAAAGCTGCAAGAAATAAGGCTGTTAGCATAACCCCAGTAAGGCAGTAATAAGAGATTGAAAAGCTTGCTTGATAGAATAAAACATATCAGCTACAATTTATGTTTTCCGATACAACTACATTGCCGAAATATAAAAGAGATATATAGGATACAGATAAATCAAATACTTAATTCCAGCTGGGCAAGAAATTCATTTATATCATAGATACATATAAAAGGATTACATAGAAAAAGGACTACATCCACTGGGGCTCGATCGATGAAATAGAGAGGTTATATATATCCAAGAGATCACTTATTAGGCCTGTGGGGTCAGTGAAAGTGGCCCAATTAACTAGACCCTCTATTCCATTCTTAAGCTCAATCTAATTGAATTTTGTTTGTATATATCAGCCAAGAAAGCCATGATCATGATATGAGATGAATTTGCCAGAGGAAGAAACAAAATTGCATTCCATTAAGTATTGGTATTCTATTTGGTTTAAAATCTCTTGCCACGTTGGAGGATGGTTAGATTTCCATTTACGGGCAATAGAAGGCATACAGAATCTGTGTAATAAGATATTTGTATTTTTTTTAGCAGGAAATCTAAGTTAAATTGGAAAAGAGAAGGTGAGAGTATTATAGTAAGCGGAGTTAAGTCTGATATCAGAAAAGAAATACGTATAATAGTGTCATTTAATAACTCACAATTGTACCATATATGTAATATTGTACCAATCGTTTTATGACATCTCCAACAGATAGGTGAATATGCTTTGGAAATTTTATGTAATTTGAAAGGACCCTGGTACTATATATATATATATATATATATATTTATATATATATATATATATATATAATATTTAGATATAATTCTAACAAAGATATACAGTGAATATTTATTTTTTTAATTGGATAGTAACTTGATACCATTTGTAGGGGTTACATTGAGATCCTTCTCCCATTTCACTATTGGTGCAATTTTACCTGCCTCATCTTCCAATAATTTGGAAAATCTGGTTATTAAGCCCTTAGTTCCTACTCTATCTAAATATCCTAAAAATTTTGAATTTAGATAGTGTTTAATCCTTAAATACCGACAAATGTCACTAGAGGGTATATTATATATAGTTTGTAAACCCAGAAAACTATTCAATATATTATTTTCATATAAGTCTGCAATTTTGTTTATCCCCTTTAACTTCCAATTGTACATGTCCATATCGATCATGTTATACTGAAGAATTTCTATTGGGGCTTGTATTAGTATAGAATCCAAGAGGTTAAACTTAATTTTCAGTTTTTTTTAATTCATCCAACAAACCGGCTACCAATTGGAATATTCACGGTAGTTTATTACCCCAAACAAAGTTAGAAAATAATCTTTGGAATTGTAGGATCCTATATTTGCCTAGTTTAAAGGGTAAAGACCTGAATAAAAATAGCAATTTCGGAATAGAATATGCATTCACTATATTCAATCGCCCCAACCATGAAATTTCGATTTTGCCCCACTTAGTCAATTGTTTATGGGTTGTAGTATATAAGTCTTCATAGTTTCGGTGCAATATATTCTGAATATTAAAATAAAGTTTGATACCCAAATATTTAAAATACTCCATATTCCAATTAAACTGGAATTTAGGCTTGAGTAAAGATAATTCTGCCTCAATTATATTTAGTACCAGAATTTTGCTTTTTTAATGTTTATTTTATAATTTGAATAGTGTGTAGGGAACTGCACTCACTCCCATCAATCTGAGCCAGGGTGCTTTAACGGTACCGGAACCAAACATCAGATTCCCAAAGTGGTAAAATAAAGGAAAAATGGTCTGGGCACTTTATTAGAAGCACAGCAACGTTTTGACCATAAAGGTCTTTATCAAGCTTGATAAAGACCTTTATGGTCAAAACGTTGCTGTGCTTCTAATAAAGTGCCCATTTTTGAACCAAGGAGTGCCTGGACCATTTTTCCTTTATTTTATAATTTTAAACATTTCCATATTTCTCAATAGTTTTTTTATAACCTCTGGAATAGAGATTGAGGGCTTCACCAGGGACAAGAGCAAACCATCAGCAAATAGGGAGATTTTGTACTCACGATCAGCTGATTTAATATCATGTATTTCTTTGTTCTCCCTAATAATAATAGCCAGTGGCTCAAGAGATAAGATGTAAAGTAATGGAGCCAATGGACAACCTTGCCTTGTGCCATTATTTATTGGAATGGGGATGATTCAAAGAAAGAATTTACAATTTTCGCCACTGGCTCCGTTTATAGTGAGATAATTTTATCTTTAAATGGACCCTGAAATCCAAATTTATTTAATACTTTATCAAAAAATCTCCAGTTAACCCTACCAAATGCTTTTTCAGCATCGAGGGCCAAAATAACCATTTCAGAATTGGTAAGATTACTTTTGATTATCAGATTAAGAATTTTGCGGATATTATCCGTTGTACCTCTGTCCCTGATGAAGCCCGACTGATCCACCAAAATCAGATACGAGATTACTAGTTGCAATCTGTTTGCTAAAATATGGGAATAGATTTTTATGTATAGATTTATTAAAGAAAGTCTATAGTTTGAAGTATTGGTAAGATCTTTACCTGGTTTAGGGAACCGGATGATAGATGCTAACAACATCGCTTTAGGAAAGGGATTTGTAATAGAGACTTTTTAAAATACCTTCTGTAATGTGGGAGCCAAGATGTCAGCAAAAGTTTTATAAAACATGGCTGAGAAACCATCCGGTCCAGGGGCTTTGTTGGTTTTAAGATTTTTTTTATTGTATTAATTATTTCAGAACTACTCATTAGAGCATTCAGCTCACTAAGTTTTTCATAAGATAACTTTGGAATATGTAGTTTATTCCAAAAATTCATAAATTTACGAATTAGGCACCTTAGAATCTGGTATGTTATATAAAGCCGTATAGACGTCTACAAAAGCCTGAAATATATCTTCAGGACTTAAAGAACACTCATCTCCTACTGTTATTTTTTTTTTATTGATTTATCCTTAGAATTATCTTTGAATCTATTTGTTAGGACTTTACTAACCTTATTGTTATGATACCATGTTTGCTTAAGGAATTTTATAGATTTATTAACCTCGCCCTGAATCTTTTTATTTATATCGTGTTGCAGGTGTATAATTTTGTTTGTAACGGTTTGAGTTGTTTGTAACTTTAGTCTTTCTAATTTAGCCAACTTAATATATAAAATAGAATTACTTTCCTCTTTGTTTTTCTTTTGTCTCGAGCCTGCTTTTATTAGAACCCCTCTAGCAAAACTTTTCAAAGTACACCAAACAATAGATGTAGAAACCATCCTGTTGTCATTATTTTGAATAAAGAAGTCTAATTCCCAAGCTAAATCAGTGGTTATCTCATCTATACATAAAAAAGGCTTTTATTCAGTCTCCATCTATTTCTAATTTTAAAGAAAGTTGGAATCTTAAATGTTAAAAATACAGGAGTATGGTCAGATAGAATAATTGAGCCAATCCTAGAATCCATAATCTGGTCCAAAAAAATCGGGCCTGACAAGAAAAAAATCTACTTGGGAGTAAGTCTGATGAACGTTAGAGAAATATGTGTAATCTCTCAAAGCTGGATTGAAAGTTCATAAAGTGAGTTTTTCAACAAACAAAATACATTTATTGGCGGTTGTTTTAATTTTTGGGTCCCATTCATCTTTGTTATTTTTGCTTTTATCTAATTTAAAATTGGGAATACAATTAAAATCCCCTCCCACGATGAAGTTTCCATACTTAACCTTATCAATTCTGGAAATGCAATCATCCAGGAAGCTCATTGAGAAAAAGAGTAAAAATCTTGTAATTTATCCTAGCAATTAGAAGAAGAAATATACCATTAGGATCGCTTTCAGAATGCATAAATTCAGATTTGAGGTTTTTAGACAAAACAATAGCTACTCCCCCTTTTTAAGTTTTCCTTCAAGATTGGCATAGTAGACTATAGGGAAGTTATTGAAATGCCATAATTTAGTAGGCGAGGATATCCAATGAGTCTCCTGGACAAAAGCTATATCCAGATTACTGTCTTTTAAGAATTTGCACAATGCCCCCCGGTTTTTGGGTTGAAGTAAGCCCTTGGATATTCCATGAAACACGCCTAAGTGTCATCAAAAACCATCATAACCCCTATAATCGAGGCCCAGTGGACCAGTCCCTTAACATTTACAAACAAAAAAGATATCAATATTTGTTTATAGCTTTTGTAAACAAATTACATTTTTACACAAAAAGTTGAACAAAGTGTCATATTCAAGTAATACCTGCTACTTTTTTACGCAAGTAGTGAGGCATGGAGATTAACTAGGAGATTTACTACACATGCTTGGAAACAACATATCCATTAAATAGAAAAAAAAAGATAATAATAATAATATTAAGTAGTGATAAATATGGAATCACCCAAGTTTTAATGATCAGATAGTATTTAGTGAACCGGAGAGTATTATCACATTAATAAAAAAAAAAAAAATATCCTCACATTAGTTTATATCGCAGCTAAAGTTCCAGCTGAGATCAATTTGTAGTACCGTTAAAATCAAAATTATTCGAGCTTAGCAGAAGTGCTACCTACAGAATTGCTCACCCGCAATGCGATCTCAACATCGGGAATACTGACCCTCACCGTGGTTCTTTTGTCAACCTCTTTGTCACTTGTACTCCGATTTAAATATGGGAAATGACAAAACCTGAGTGATCCCGTCGACCTCCCGGGTGAGTTCAAGGTGAGTTCACCTGGCTCTTTCCCAGGACGGTTCTTTGCTAGGTCCACGGTGATCTGCCTGACTGTAATCAGCAAGAAGTATGCTTGAAGTATGCTCAGCACTCTGCGTGCAGCATATGGCATTCAGCATTTCACCACCATGCTCATTGGCAAAACCCACACCTCGTCCTAGTTTCCCCGACACCTCACATCCTCACGTGTGTGTTACGTCATACCTCCCCCACACCTTAACCAACCAATTGTTGTGTATTTCAACGTTTCATTAATCGATTCCCTGCCATTTAGGAGTTAAACCACTAGAAGCCCTTGTCACACCTGCCTGCATGTGACTTTGACAGCCTTCCTAAACACTTCCTGTAAAGAGAGATCTAATGTTTAAACTTTCTTTAATACATAATCTGTTTAATCTTGCCTTCTAGACCCTACATGAGCCTCCTGTGTTGGATTAGGATTCAGTTTACAGTGCAGGGGATAAAAACTTCTAAAATGAGTTAACATCTGGTTACAAATGAAACCATTTTGCTCATGCAGACTGTGGGAATCACATCTTGGGGAGGTGTGACTGGGGTTGCATGGACATAAATAAAATTGATTTAACTCCTAAATGACAGAGAAAGAGGCATAGGCTTCAATAAAACTATTTTTCCCTTATTAAATTCAGTAGGCAAAAAGACTATACAAACCACTGACGGCTTCCCCAATGTGCATATATACATAGCGATTACCACTATGTATATATGCATTTGCCCTGCTGTCATGTATAGTGAAGAGGAGACAACAAGCTCCTCGTCGAGTAGTGTCCTCTTGCAAGACCCGGCTGTCAGAACATTGCTGCGAGTTGTCTTGGCAACACTATGTGCAGCACAAATGCCACTCTTGCGAGAGAAGGAGAGGAACTGCGGCACGCTGGAGGTGGAGGATGGAGACTCCTGGGCCCCTTCTTCAGTATACAACCCGCTGTGCCACCGGACCATCAGGGAATCTAGTGTTCCCCCTCCCTGGTATAAGTCGAGTTTTTCGGCACATTTTTTGTGCTGAAAAACCCCCACTCGACTTATACTCGAGTTAATGTCTGTATTATGGCAATTTACATTGCCATAATACAGACCAGGACCGCCAGGCTCATTACAAGCCCGACGGTCCTGTTGGGGGCTGACAGTGAGCGGTTACTTACCTTACTGCAGCTCCTGTTAGCTCCCTTCTCCTCCGTGCAGCTCCTCTGTCAGCTCCCACTGTAAGTCTCGCGAGAGCCGCGGGGTCACCGCGGCTCTCGCGAGACTTACAGTGGGAGCTGACAGAGGAGCTGCACGTAGGAGAAGAGAGCTGACAGGAGCTGCAGGAAAGGTAAGTAACCGCTCACTGTCAGCCCCCCCTCCTACACAGCCCATACACTGGACCACCAGGGACTGAGAGCCCCCCTACCTGGCAAGCTAACAAGCAGGGAGGGGGGACGAAAATTAAATTAAATAATAAAAAAAACACAATAAAAAATATTAACTTAAAACATTAAAATAAAATAAACTTAAAATATTAAAATAAAATAATAAAACAAAAAAACTTAAAATATTAAAATAAAAAAATTCTAATAAAAATGCCCTCCTCCCACCCAGTTCACACACACACACACACACACACACACACACACACACAAACACTCTCATACAAACACACACACTCATACAAACACACACACTCATACAAACAATCTGCATTCTACACACACTCATACAAACACACACACACACACTGCATTATATACAGACAGAGTGTGTGCGTTTGTATGAGTGTGTGTGTAGAATGCAGATTGTTTGTATGAGTGTGTGTGTGTATAATGCAGAGTATGTGTTTGTATGAGTGTGTGTGTGTGTGTATATAATTCTAAAAATCACAGAATTTCATAGCCCCAAGTTTTACCCTCGACTTATCCACGAGGCATAGCATATTTCACAATTGTTGGTCACAAAACTGCCCTCGACTTATACATGAGATCGACTTATACACGAGTATATACGGTAAGAGGCTGGGAGAAGGGGATAAACGTCATTATAAATAAAAAAACTCGTCACCCCTCTTATCCAACACAACAAACTAACACACACACAGCATCCGTTACACACTCCCACTGCATCCACTATGCCCCCACACTGCATACACTTTACAAACACACAACACACACACCCACTGCACTCACTATAGACACACAGTGCATCCACTTTTTTTAACCATGTTTGTGGACTTGAGGCGGGCCCTGTGGGTGGACTCGAGGCGGGCCCTGTGGGTGGACTCGAGGGTGGGCCCTGTGGGCGGACTCATGGGTGAGCCCCATGCAGGGCGACGCTACCTGTAAGGCGACCTAGGCAGCCGCCTAGGGCGCAATTTAGCAGGGGGCGCCGGATCCCTGGCCCGGAGTCACCGCTTTTACAAGCCTCAGGCAGCGCAGCATTGCTGTGGAGGGCGGCTCGATTTGAGCAGCATGAAGGAAGCGCAGAGCGCTCCCTCCTGCCGGTCTCTCAATGTAGCGTGGCTGGGCGGCGCGGAACGCGGGACAGGAACCTCTGTTTCCTGTACCCGGCCGCCGGCGGACTGACAGGAAGTGCTCACTGAGTACACGCTACATAGGCAGGAGGGTAAGGAACACCAGGGGAGGGGGGGGAGGGTGAGTAAGGACCCAGGGGAGGTGGCGCTGCAAAACATGGGAGCAGTAATGACCAGGGAGGGAGTAAGGAACACGGGAGGGAGTAAGGACCGGTGGAGGCGAACACAGGGAGGGAGGGGTATGGAACATGGGGATGGAGGGGCAAGGACCCAGAGGAGGGGAGGGGAGTATGACCAGGGGGAGGTGGAGCAAGGACTGCGGGGAGGGAGGCACCACAGGAGGGGAGCAAGGAACACAGGGGAGGGGAGGGGGTGGCGACCCACGAGTGGCGAAGTGGAACCAGGCCAGGGGAGGGAGGGGGCGACCACGCAGGAGGGGAGTAAGGAACACAGGAGAGGGAGGGGGAGGCGAAACACAGGAGGGGAGGGGGAGGCGACCACCCAAGGAGGGGCACCACCAGGGGAGGAGGGGTAAGGGCCACCGGGGAGTGAGAGGGAGGGGAGTGGGGGCACCACTTTGGGGGAAGAGGGGAGCAAGGACCACAGGGGAGGGGCAAGGACCACCCAGGAGGGGAGGGGGCAGGCGCCACTGGGGAGGGGAGTAAAGGACCACTGGGAGGCAAGCGGGAGGTGGGAGGCATGGACCACAGGTGGGAGGGGGATGAAAGGACCACAGGGGCGGGCAAGGACCACCGAGGAGGAGGGGAGGTCCAATTGCTGGGGTTTGGGAGAGGGAGGACCACTAAGGTGGGAGAAAGAGGATAATGACCACTGAGCGGGGGAGAATACCACTAAGGGGGTGGGGGGAGGAGGAGAATGTCTACTAAGGGGTTTGGGAGAGGGTGGACCACTAAGGGGAGGGATGGAGGACCACTAAGGGGGAGAGAGGGGAGTGAGAAGACCACCAAGGGGGGACTACAGGGGGCCAAGGGAGAGCACTAAGGGACAGAAGGGGAGAACACGGAGGGACAGGAGGGAAGGGGAAATCAATAATTGACAGGGGGGGAGAGCACTATGAAAAAAATAAAAAAAAGAGCTGCTCCCCTCTCAGTCTCTATCCTACCCCACAAACCCTCTCTTTTACACTACACACATACACAATGCATCCCCCCCACACACACAGAAACATACAATGCATTCCTACTCACACAAAGACACACCCGAAACACACAATGCATCCCTTACGTTCTCACAAACACTCATTCTCTTACACACAGAAACAAAATGCATCTCTTACACAATCAATGCACCCCTTACAGACACACACTGCATTCAATTAAATACACAGAAACACACCTTGCACCCCTTACACACAAACACACACTGCATCCCCTATACACACACTACATCCCTTACAGAAATTGGTATCCCTATAAACTACATTCTATAAGAACACACACACATTGCATCCTCTACAATAACACATAAAACATCCCCTACACACATACACTCCACTTCCTGTGAGAGAACTCACGGGTGGGCCATGTAGGTGGATTTATGGGTGGGCATTGTAGGCATACTCACGGTCAAGCCCTGGGGGCCCAGACCTTGAGCTGTGTAAGGGGCCCTAAAAAATCGAGCTGCATCCTGTTTGTTAATTGTTGTGAGCATTGTTAAAAACAGTCTCCTGAGAGCCTCTTCTACACCAAACCTGTGGAGCCAGACAGAGCCCATCATCATCTTCTTGTCCTCATCTGGTGGTAAGTAGGCAATCCAGTATATATTATTAGTGGCACTAATCTCTAATTTACCTCACATTAAATGGATACTATAGTCACCAGAAGCACTACAGCATAATGTAGTGGTTCTGGTGTCTATAGCCTGTGCCTGTAGGCTTTTTAATGTAAACACACTGTCTTTTCAGATAAAAGACACTTTGTGAAGACTGGCGTTGGCCCATATGGCAGATCATATGGGCGGGGCATTGTGATGTCACATGGTGGGCAGGACATATGGGGGGGGGGTGGTGGCAAAAATTGTTTTGCCTAGGGCAGCAAAAATCCTTGCACCGGCCCAGGTCTTTAAGCTGTTAAGGGGCCACACAATTTCTGGGGGTAGGCCTGCATGTGATGTTATCAAATTAAAACAAACTCAAGATTACAGGGCATTAGACAGATATTCATGTACATATATATGCCAAAGGATTATTCACTAAATAGGGGATTGTGGTGACATTAAATACAGAATTTGCAAATGTAAGATCAAATTAACTTGACTGTAAACATTCCCTAACATCAAACATTGTACTTTTCAAATTACATTTTCCATTCACTACATTCCACTGTGTAGTTATTAACGCATAATAGTCATTGGATCCAAGGTACACATACAAGTGGGTTTCTGGTGTCTTCAAGTGACTAGTAACAAGAGTTTTTCATAGTATAAAACAGCTGCATTTATTGTGATTACTAAAATATAAAGGAGATAAATAACTACAGTGCAATCAGTGTTTTATGGTAGTCCAGCGCAATCTATGTATGTATGTATATGTGTGTCTGTGTGTGTGTGTGTGTATATATATATATACCTATTTTCTACCTTTAAAAAAAAAAAATACAAATAAAAGGTTTGCGGGACAAGCGGCCAGACCCACAGTTGAAGAAAGAAATTTCAGTCCTTTAAAGTACAGACGTCCTTCATGGTCACCGGGTGCCTGAGGCAAAGTTCACTTCCAGATGAAATTATTGGCAGTTTATTTTCCACATGATATTTAATTAGATGGCTGACATTTTCAAATATATGGTCTTTGGTCCTTACCTAAAACAAAACAAAAAACAGCTTTTAATAAATTGGATGTAATTAAGTCAACAGTCAACTATTTTCTACTAAATAATTAAATACATTCTTCCATCACCACTCACCATTAGGCCCAGTCCTTCTATTTACCAATTTTGTAGCCCAGATCCCAGCCCTTTGTGCCTTCTGTCTGCTTTGCTTTGGGAGCCCTTGAGTGTTTTTATATATTTTTATGGTCTGTTTTGATTAAAATGGGAGGGTGACTGGGCACTGTGGTAGGGAGATATGTGCACACTAACATGTACACAGCGTTACTTACTAAGTAAAACCAGAGTAGCCGAATTTAATTTTTCCATTTTGGCTATTTTGACATTTTAAATTTAGTGAATTATCCTGGTAGTTTTGGTTTTAACTCTGTGAATAGTCCCGACACTGCCTCTAATATATCTCTGATGGCTAATGACATTGGTAAACACTACTTAGAGCCCTGTGCATGACCACAAGGGATTTTGAGGCTCAGCCAAATGATGTCCAAACTGTAACTGAATGCAGAACTAAAGAAGCCTCTTGCAGATTTAACTTGCCTTTTTCTATAGTATTCATCTCACAAGCATAGATCAGTATATAAGCTTCACCTCTGAGAGTGTGTCTTTTGGGAAATATATCCATGTATGCAGATATTCCCAAATGTATATTTTGAATTTATAAAAGTTAAAAAAAACAAAAAAAAAACACTTTTTAGGGTTGTAGTGAACTAAAAACTGATTTGGGAAAATTCTGGCTAAATGAGTGGTCTCTCTCAAGCCTTTAGCTAATCTAGGCACTGCTGGGCAGTGGCCAAACTACCAGGGTCGCAAAGGTCCCAATTGAAGTTCTGTCAGGGAGCCCATTGGGAATGGTAGCAGCAAGCAGGGCAGCAGCAGGCAGCTTATTTTTCTTACAAGCCTGCTGCTGCTCCTGTGTCGGTCTCCACACTTCCATGTTTGTCAGTGTATATATCTGTGCATGTGTATTAGTGTTTGTGTGCGTCAGTGTATGCATCTGTGCATATGCGTCAGTATTTTTTTCTATCAGTATATCTGTGCGTGTGTCTGTGTACATATATCTGTGCATGCATGTCAGTATTTGTGTGTCAGTGTATCTGTGCATGTGTCAGTGTATCTGTGCCTGTGTGTCAGTGTATGCATCTGTGTGTTTGTGTGTGTCAGTGTACCTGTGCATGTGTGTCAGTGTTAACGTGCATCAGTGCATATATTTGTGCATGTGTGTGTTAGTGTATATGTCTGTATATGTGTGTTTGTCTGTAGTGGTTTGTACTCACTGAAGTGGTTATGGACCTTGGTGTATTTCATTAAGCCTAAATTTTTCAGTTCAAATTTTAGTTCACTTACACATGGTGTTTAGTTAATATACATCTTTATTTTAGTGCTAGGGTTATATTACTTATACCTTTCCCTCTGGGTCCACCAGAAGCAGATGTTTGTGTTGTCCTCCATGGAGTCCACTTAGAACATACTGGCAAGCAGATGTTGTACTTTCCCGAACTAGAAAATCTCCATCGTTAATTAGCAGGTTTTCTGCAATCTTTCGGCTCATTTTTCCATGGTACCAATCCTCTCTTTGTGTGGAAGCGCACAGAAACCTTTTGTTTCCTTGGCACTGTTTCCTGGCTTCTGGAACCTCTGAGATAAAAAAGGCACGTGTATGGCTTTATTCAACAATTTATACTTTAGAAACCTCTTTTTACACATTTTTTATCATGCAAATAAATTATTTTAAAAATGCAATTTGTTTACAATACTTGGAATCTTGACAAATACATATTGTCATAATAAAATCAGTCCGTAGATGGCAGCTCAGCTCTACATCCAATTTTCTTCAGAGCCTGGCGGAGCACTTGGATGTTGTGCAGTAGGCCAGATTGTCAATAATAATTAATATGCCTCTTATTTTCATTTCTGCCCCACATTTTTTTAAAATAATTGTTTTATAATCAATTATTTAAATATATCAAAATATAATAACATGTTTTCCTCTTTTTATCTCAGTCTTTCGTATAATATTAGATAAGTATTTATTGCAAATTTACTTTAACAATAACCGTTTTTCTTTTCAGGATTTCTACAAAAAAATAAATTTTAAATTGTATTTTACATTTTTCTGCTCTACAATGCATTTTTTTAAATTTACTGTGTAACACTTTGCACAATGATAGGGTAATAGTAGTCATTCATTTAATATTTATTTTTTCTTTTTTATGAAGGATGAAATGCATCAGAATCATTCACAAAAATGATAATGCAAAGCATAGCTGATTTAGAGATTGTTTTTAGTTTGGCTATTTTGACCTCAAAGAGACAGTATAGACACCCAGACCACTTCATCTCAATTATGTGGAATGGGTGTCCCCCACCCTCACCCCATTTTAATCATGTCACTAAAAACTTTGCTGTTTTGCTGAATAGCAATGCTTCATTGCAGGGTTTAAGTGCCTATAGTGACTGTCACTATAGTTTCTTTCGAGGAAATAACAGAGTGAGAGAGACCATCTTATTCGTACAGCGTGGCGTTTTGCCACCCACGCGGACTAGTCTCACAATGCCTTCCTGTGGGAAAGCATTGGATTGACTGAGATCATTGATCTCGATGATCTCAACCAGAGAAAAGATAAGTAAAAAGACCTAGTGTTATGAATTCACATTTGTATTCCTAATGCTATAGTGATCCTTTACATTTGAAATTTACTATACATGCACCATGATTTCTCACCATTGTGAATAAGCTTACATAAGTCTAACCTGGCATATATTTTAAATATTATTCAGGATATTTGCTGTTTTGACAGCATGCTGCACATTCATTGAGATTTTCTGAGAATTTACTGGTATGTCTCTTTTCAAAGGGCAAGTATATGTAAAAAAAAAAAAAATCTAAATAATTTCTCATGCATATATTTACAAACAATGATCTAGTATTTCAACAGGACTTTGTAATGATATGTAAGACAGAGCACTGGCGTATTGTTGGGGGGCTGTAGCCCCAAATGGTGTCCTGGAAAGCCCCAAGTCTGATTTTTGGCATCCTTTCATTAGTAGCTCCATGTACCCTGTAATATTGAATATAGAAATAATGCCTTAAGTTGTATACTATGTGACAAAGCCACTTTCATGCACCATGTTTAAGTACAATGCACAGTGTGGGGAATTGCTGTTGATGCGGGCTTTTAATAAAGTGGGTTCAGGTTTAATGCTGCAAATATGAGGTTAATACTTTGAATTAATTCAAACACTTTGTGTTATAATTTGATTCATAGAAAATGTTTTGGTTAAGGCAGGCTTCCCCAAACTCGGGCCCTCCAGGTGTTGCTGAACTACAACTCTTATGATTCTATGAATTAAATAGGCTGAGAATCATGGGAGTTGTAGTTCAGCAACATCTGGAGGGCTGGCATTTGGGGAAGCCTGGGTTAAGGGTTCGATATAGGTGTGGGTTTTTGGAAGAGCTTTCAGTAGCGAGACAGAACATGAGAGAGCTATGAAGTACAAACATTGTGGGTGGGTATGAGTTGTAGTAATCTCAATAGAGTGTAACTGACAAATTTGTTGCTATGGCTCCGATTCAACTTTAGTGTTAGCATGTTGAATCCTAAAATCAGGCTTATCTCGGCAGGAAAATTGAGGGTTAGCATCCTGAATCCTAATATCAGGCTACATAACATGTTTATGATATGCTAGATCATCCGGGAAATGTTTAAGGAGACACCTACTGGGGGTTAACTCAAATGGAAATTCTGTGATGGAGATAATTCTAAAATGTTTATCATTTTGAATTTTTGGACATGTCCAGAAAATGTAAAACAGGGTACCCATTTGGTCACATCCTCTCCAACACAATTTAGATTTGTAAAGATTTAGTCTGTATAATTTAGATGGAGTAAAGTATCATCTGTATAATAATTTCAAATGAGTTTCCAAATGGATAATATTACGAGTAAGGGGGCGGGGCCTGACTGCAGAGCGGAACAGTCACATGTTGCTGCTGCTCCCGTGTCTATCCTCCTATGGTGCCGATTCTCGACGAACAGGGGCTGTGACTCGACTTACAGTCGCTATCAAATGTCAGGAGACTAGCAGGATGATACCACACAAGTGGAATGAGGCACCGGTACAGACCACTCGGATGTTGCGGCCTACAAGCATGGCAGTTTTGGGAGAAACGGCCGCTCTCCCGCCGCCCCAACACACTGCAAAGCAAAGCTTGAGCCACCATTCCCCCCCCCCTACGGACCGGCGGGGGTTATCCCGGTCCCCACCAATCCGACTCATGCAACCATATGGGCTGCAGCTGCCCATCCAAGCTTGGGCTCCGGACGCACCGGGCCCAGCAACATGGCGGACGCAACGCACATAACAAAGCCTGATCCCACGCAACCACAACCCACAAACTTGGACGTGATATTCCAGCATTTCTGGGACAAACTGGAACAACTCCTTGCAATCCCCCCCTCGGCACACCGGGGTACAACACGGAGGGTGGGGAGGCAGAGACAGAGTAGGCCTGTCCCGGGTAACGCATGCCCTCCTCTCCCAGCAAAGAGCACTGACTACCCACCCGGGACAATGGTCACAAGGAGATTACCTCCGCAGCATCGACCACACCGCCGGAAACCCGACCACCGCTGGCGGCGGCAGAACACCGGGGCTATGATGCCCACTCAGGGAAAAACTCGGCCTCCAAGAGCATCCGAGTTTGTGGCACACCGCTGCAGACCCCACACAAGGCCAGGAAGAGGCCCCACCATTCTCGTTACCCACCTGTCACCTCTGGGCCCCTGAAGCACCAGCCTCCACAATGCCACGCGTGGGAGTCGGCTGTCAAATAGGCCCACGTACTGCGCCCAAGCAAGTGAGCAACCATCACACCCGGACTGACACCCAGGGACACTCACCGCTCCTGCTGAGCATCCCATAACCCACACAAGCGGACACTTTCAACGAACTCTACATGCTAACTGGGAGTAAATATGTTGGTTTAGCTCTGCCTGTACCTGTGCGCAGCATGTGTGTCCTAAGGTGGTAATAAGCCAGTTCACTTAACTAATTATGATTGTATGTTCCTGCTTTTACTATGTGTTCATTTAACTCACTCATTCTTAGCATGCCATTAACAGTAGTGGCACCCAAGGCTCCACTTTACTGGCTATATAACTCCATTCAGATTTAACCTTTACCCCTACATCTTTTTAAAATCCTGAAACTACAGTTTAGTTAGTAAACCTTACTATTTAATCTAACTGTCAGTTACCAAGGCACATTTTACCTAGAATAGCATATAGGTCAGAGAGGAAATACGTTATTCCGACTAAACGTGCCACTCAAATATTTTTTAAGTTTTAGTTTTGCATTTGGTAACATAAAGCTAGACCCTCTCGCAAGATAGTTAGCTGGTTTCTGCTTCTTTACTATAGACGTACCTGACAAGCATGTATTCATTTACTTTCACTAAAAATGTGCAAGCAATCTGCATACCATGACATTATTATCTCATGTATGTTATAATTTGGGTTTGTACTGCTGTCGTGGCGCAACAAACTCGCTTTCGTCATAATTTGCACAATTAAATAAAGACTGACAAAAAAACATTTTCCAAGAAAACATCAAAAGATTTTTTTGTAATAATGTAAAAAGAGGAAAATTGGAATTAGTTAATTCAGACAAATTTATATAAAAATCTCAAATAAAATACCCATGCACAAAACTATAGGTGTTAACTCTCCTGAAAAAAACGTGCAAATTATTTATTCTATTGAGTAAAAGAAGTAGCCAGAAACAACATGGCAATGCCATGAGCTAAATCTGGAAGCTATTGTTTTAAAAAAAAAAAAAGTACTGTAGGAATCTTATGGGAATGAAAACGTAAACTCCTGCATGAGAGCTCAGACATTTCAAACAAGACAAAAATATTACGAGTTATCTCCTTTAAAGCCAATATTAATTTATGCCACTTCGACACTATAAACACCACAGCCAAAACACATATGAAGTTGTTTTACGCCTAGTTCGCCCACAAAAACAGTGTAACATTGAGAAATGGTACATTTCCAGCCATGTTTTTTCTAAATTTAGTATTTCCAATTGTTTGCAATTCGGATCCCGGCGAGAAATCTCAATATGATCAATAATTTGTTCTACCATCTTTTCGTGAATAGGAGCGTCAATGTCACATTGTAGTTTTTGTCTACAGTTTGTGGAGGATGATAAGCAAAACAAAAAACATCATGTGAGCGACTGTACTGTGAGTAAAAATACCTTGTAAATGAGATGGGTCAGATAAGAATGGAAAGACTTGTTCAGGTTAACCGGTTACATGCAATAAAGGCTCTGTAATAGTTGGGTGTAGGGAATCTCTGATCAAGCAAAAGATTAATTGTTACATGTTCTACAGCATTATATATTCAATTCCTGTGAGTTTAAAATAGGCAGAACAAGAAGCTGTTTTGATGATCAATGCTGATAAATAAAGGTTGGTAAAATTACTCTTGATCTGCTGTGATATGCTGATGTAAGAGTAGGAATTTGGAAAATAACACACTATATCCCAAGGGACCCAAATCATTAATGAATGTCACTAAATATGTAATTTATGTTGACGAACATGTAAGTTCAGTTAGAACCACAGGTAAGCCACTTTGACACTTAAAGCAAACTATTGCATCATGTCACAATTTTATAAAGCGGTTTCGCAACCATCACAACCATGGTTGCACCTTTAATTGACTCTGGTGGCTTGCACAGCCCCATATCTCAAATGTAAAATGGAAATAGCACCCTTAACATAAAATGGAATTAGATATTCTGAGCCGAAATCCAACCATTACCGTTTAGGTGCTGTCCTAAAACTGTATTACCCAATCATTATATTTAGAATAAATAAAAAGGCATTTTTCATAAGTATATTTTTATTTTAGTACAACATAGATCATAATAAATGGTTTTATAAACAGCAAAATATTTCTTTTCTTACCGGATGTTGGGTTGTGTTTTCCAAAAGTCTGATTTTTATCAAAAGTTTCTATTTTTGATGCCGTGTTTATATAACTTGGATCATCAAACAGTTCTTCCTTACCAGCAGGAATGTTTAATGTATTCTGGTTTGAGTGACCTGTGGAAAATATATTTATTAGTATAATGTATAGAACATTTAAAGTTACTCTTGCTTTTAGTGACATACTGGCATGGGCGTCCACAGGAATTTTTCCAGGGGGGGGCATAATTGTAATGACATCCATGCTTGGTACCTTTTTGACAGTGTCGTGAAAGGGAAGGGGCATAGCCATTATCACATAAAGCCAGGGTGAATAGCGTTTTCACAACTATGGTGTCAGGAATATATGTTTGTATTCCTGACACTATAGTGTTCCTTTAAGCAAATTAAAGGACCATTCTGGTCACCATAACAACTTCACCTAAATGAAAATGCTATGATGCCAGGAAGCCCCTGGGTGCTCGCTTTCCTTTAAGGGGTTAAATCACTCTCAAATGGTTTAACCCCAAAGGCTTCCTCCAGCTCCAGGTCGCTCAGTGGTATTTGGCTTCTGAAACAGAGTGTCAGGAAGTGCAGATTGACGTCAGGCATGGGTGCCGCTGATTGGCTAGAGTGGACAGTTGACGCTCTAAGCCAATCGCTAGTTCCCGGTTCATAAAATATTTTTACTTTTTTATGAATGGGGAGCTACTGATTGGCTTAGAGTGCCAGCTGACCGCTCTAGCCAATCAGCAACACCCCTACCCAACGGCACTCTGTGCTTCCTGACACTCAGTAAATAAAAGTGAACACATTAATACTGATATTTTTTTACCTTTGGAGATGAGAAGGTCCAGCGTTTCCCTGCCTGGCCCAGGTACCAAAGCCTTATGATGTGGTGTCCAGAATAAAGTGGAGGGTTCACTTCATTTGTCCTTCCTGCTCCAATCTCCTTTTCCTCTCCTTCATTTGACAGTCTTTTTTTATCTTCTGACACTGTTTTCTATCCTTGGCCCCTTCTGCTATTTTACCTTTCTGCTACTTTCTGCTTATTTTGCACCCTTCTGCTCCTTTCTCATTCTGATCCCTTTCTGCTCCTTGCAGACCCTTTCTGCTCCCTTTTCTACTTTATCTTTGTGCTCCTTGCTGTCCCTTTGTGCTCCTTCTCCTACTTTACCTTTGTGCTCCTTCTGATTCTTTCTGCTCCTTTAACTTTGTGCTCCTTCCTGCTCTTTGCAGGCCCTTCCTGCTCATTCTCCTATTTTACGTTTGTGCTCCTTCTGCCCCTTCCAGCTCATTTCTGACCCTTTCTGCTCCTTCTGCTTTACCTTTGTGCTGCTTTACCTTCCAGCTCCTTGCTGACCCTTCCTGTTCATTTCTGTTCCTTTGTGCTCCTTCTCCTACTTTACCTTTTGTGCTCCTTGCTGTCCCTTCCATCTCCTTGCTGCCCCTTTCTGCTCCTTGATGTCCCTTCCTGCTCATTTCTGTTCCTTCTCCTTTTCTTACTTTACCTTCCTGCTCCTTGCTGACTCTTCATGTAGGCTGTCTCCCCCATCCCTCACTTCCATAGGCGTGCGCACGGGGTGTGTCGGGTGTGCATGGGCACACCCTAATCCCCGCGGCACGACGACGCTATCCGAGCGGCGGCTCTGGTCTAAGCCTCCATGGGCCGGTGGGGAGATCAAAGTTCTACCTCACCGGTCCACAGCAGCATGGAGGGAGGCAGCAGAGAACCCGGGCTAGAGTTCACTCTCCACTGAACCACCAGGGAAGGCAGCAGGACTGGGATAATAACTAATCTGCCCCCACCTCCACCCAAACATACAGCACACACACACACACAGCCCCCACTCACATACAGCCCCCACACACACCCAGCACACTAACAGTATCCTCACAAACACACAAACAGCACACTCACACACAAACAGCACCCTGACAAACACACAACACACAAACAGCACACTAACAGGACCCGAACAAACACGCACACACAAACACCCTCTCACACACACACAGCACACTACCAGTTCCCTCACACACAGCACACAAACAGCACTCTCACAAACACACAAAAACACCCTCACCCACATAGCACACTACCGGCACCCTCACACAGCAGTGTGTATGTATATATATATATATATATATATATATATATACACATACACACATACATATACATATACACATGGTGTGTGTTTGTGCTTTAGGGTGCACTCCCTATTGCAATAGGCTGCGCACGCCTATGCTCACTTCCCTAATCTATAGGCTGCTGGGCAACAGCATACAATCGATGATGAAATGCTGCAGCCCCTAAACCATTACCAGAAGGTAGGAAGACACCCATTGTTATTGTGGTTAGAGTTTTAATAAATACACCAAAATGTATAAAACTTAACAATATGAATGAGCAAAACAAACACTAAATACACCTCTTCATATTTGATAACAAAAATAAAACATATTCCACTGTACTGCATGGACCTTCTTAGCTTATAGCTAACTGGATTCTCTTAAAAGGGAAGACCAGAAGCAGTGGCTATGGCTGGACACTTAGCATACTATTCTTTATGTGACTGTGTTGTCTAATTGCAACCTATCTCCTGTGTGATTTTAGAAAATAAAAAAACACAAATAATGCCAACCAAAGTTCACAAATCATTAGCAAATAAAAGGAGTATTAAGGTTGGGTAGGAATAATTATGGTATTTACATCAACTGTCGCCAAAGTAATCATATAAAAGAACGCACTTTCAGTTTAGTGAAACCACTGGGCTCATGCACACTGAAACCAGAGCTCTTGTTCTGCAGTCTACATAAACACTTGAAATTGTCTGGACCACCACCAACTGATGTGTTTTGTATGGAGACCGGCAATAAATGATGTATTTTCGAACCTCAGACCTAATTTACTTGATTGCTTTCAATACTGTAGAACTGGAATACAAGTGTTTTTCGGGACTGGGGCCTATGTTGCTAATGTGGAGTTACTGTCAGTACTCAACGAATATAGTGATACAGACGTATGTGTGCTATTGCCACCAGTAACTGTCTTGAAGACCATTTCTGGAACGTATATGATCCAAAACAAGGCATTAATATTACTATGAAGAAAACAAATATTGTGAATTGTTTCAGCCCCAAACATAAATAAATAATACGTTCTATAAAGAAAAAATCAATCTTACCTATAATTTTGGGGTTCTCTCGACAGTTTTCGTATATGTTGGTACTTTTATGGAAACCTATCTAAAAATTTGTTAAAAAGAAAAAAAGAAAAACTCAACAATTAAATGAGCATGAAGTAATATGAAAGACATTTACTTATATAATATCCATATTACAGAAAGAGACCCCATGGAGGTTATACAAAAGGGTAATACTGAGGCTAAGTCCTACATTTGAAGCAGCCAACGTTCAATTTCATTCAATGGCGACTACTCCACTTTTAGAACTTTTTTAGAACCCAGAATTATCTTTTATACATAACCCCCGTGTTTGTTTATTAATATCACTTACTATCGTCACAGATAATAGACAAAAGGGGGCTCTGCAATACTATTACATTTAAAAATAATTTTTAAACCAGCTGCCGTTGATTGGCTGAGGTGTTGTTATCCTGTGTTTTACATTGCTGAGGCTATGGAATTCTTTTTACTCTTGTGCCTATCATTAAAGAAAATAAATATAATAATATTATAATGCTAAGAGCAGAACACAGTGTCTAAAAATATAGCTAAACAAAATAAATCATAGTTCAAAGGCATTTTGTAAATTATTGGTATTTGAATACTTAATATATAAGCTATTATTCAGCACTGGAATATTCTGAAGCTACTGTGTGGCTATTGAAATGGCAAACTGAAAGTTTAAAATGTGTTTTCATGGCCATTTACCACTAGACACAATGTTTGGCATGTGGTAAAGCGCATCTAGTAGTGTACTTTATAAAAGCTGGGAGATTAATCATATTTCACAATCTGGCAAACCAACGGACAACTCAATTGTTAAATATTGAGAGAAAAGCTACTTGCCTGACTGCATAGTGACAGGTGCTAAGTTTGGGTAAAGAGAACGATTATAGTCCGAGTGACTTACTTGAAAAAATGAGCCTCCTCCGCAGGTGATTTGTAAAAATATTTAAATCTCAATAAAGCAACCCTTTCTTATGAGAAGCTTTGGAATCGGCATTTGTACTCAGTGCTTCTCTATGAAAAGTATTTGATTGGACGATGCCCACAATGAAGCAAGTGCTGGATGAAAAGGGGTGGATCTTGCTTAGCTGCAGAAGGCTGTTCTGCAGCTAATGAAAAGTATAGTGTTATGGTTTAGGAAATATTTGTGCAAATTTTTGTAAATTTTGTAAATTTATGCAACAATTGTATGCATTAAAATTAAAGATATACACTTTGGACATAGCGTTTCCTTATATGTAGTATTTATCACCTGAGCGTTTTGGTCGTCTCCAATATGCATGGGTTCCATGATATCTATTTTAATCCTCTTGTCAAGTACGCCACCAGCAGGAGGTACCTTTCCTGGTATTTCATTGTAATAATCATGTCCTTTCACTTCCACGTTTTGAGTTGCATTATTAATATTTAGTAGATCACTAAGTCAAAGATACAAAAAAAATATATCATATCACCAGTTGCATGAGTCACATTTATTTGTACTGCATCAATTTCATCTCTCAAAATTATTTAATACTACTGGACGATAAAGTAATAGAACTCTACTTATAAAGGTGAATGTTTCATAATTTTGGAGGGAGTCTGTGACATAAACTTTATTTGGTCATTGGTCATTAAATAAGAGGTAATTGAATGCATTTGCACACGTTTGACCATGAAAATTCCAATCATTCATAGACAAGATCTAAATGTAAGCTTTGTTGGCACTGAGAAATAATATTGATGGCAACTTGATTTCATTTAAGCTTGTAGGACAGATTGTAAGCTCTTTATGCAGTTTGTAGCAAAACAGAATACAAGCTGATTAGTTTAAGTTTGCTGTGTACCAAAGCAACGTTCCCTCCACTGATTTATAACAAAAATAGTGAAAAGTTCATTTGTGAGTCCTATTCGTTTGGCTTGAAGCAGCTGTCTGTCTGTGTCTTAACGAACACATTCTGGCATCTGCACATAACAGGTAATATGTTAAGCTTTTAATTGGTGCCAGTATATGTAATACTGATGTACTATTACATGATGGTGATGTTCATTACAGCAATATCCACAATATGAAATGTTAAATCATTTTCTATTATTCTCTTGAAATGTCAGCTGCCCTCACCAACCAAGAATACCTTCAATATGCTAAAGTTTCTTTGCTGAAAGGGAGTGCAATCGATTGATTCCACATTTAATGTAGATATATTGTTGGTTCCAATACGAAAAAAAACCTGCAAACTCGTTCACATTTGGTGAACGTCCAAGTATCCCATTCCATCAAAATGTTTTCCCTTGTGGTATTCACTTGTTATTTTATCCCCAATCTTTCCGTGGGTTCAATGTCATTTTTCCTATATTGCTAATTGCCACATCTGGAACTTTTCATGTAAAACTCCTTATCTTATTCTATTACCACATATTGCTGTCTCCGTGGGTTTCTACGTTTCCTTGCTGTTCTTCTTGGAAGATAAAGTCTTACTTGATGCATTAAAGCAAAACATGGTTTGTTTTTATTGGCAAATACACAGAACCTTTTCAAAGAAGCAACCAGCGGAAAAAGTCTGCATTTTATTTCCCAGAACCACGAGGGGAGAAAAAGTATTTCCTTTCTGTTAATGTGTGGATGTTTTTAATTTTTAGACCCCTCCGAGATATTTAATGCATTTTTTGATTTGACCTTAACACTTTTGTCTCGTATTGAGTATGTTGTCTATAGTTAAGACATAAAAAGAGCCATGCAAATGTATCAGATGTTTTATGCTACTTGGCCACAGAAGAAGATCAATACAATCATTTGGATTTTGAATAGCAGAAGATTATGCAGTTAATTTAGACAAGACTAATTTAGCCAATCTGAAAGAAAGCCTGCAGGGTCAGTTGCTACATTGACCAATATTAAACGAACACTCCAAGCTCCGTAACCACTGCAACACGCTAACAAGCTTTACAAAGACCTCTTTGCAGGTCAAAATGTTGCAGTATACATGATGTACACATGATGCTCTGATAAATCAGCCTTACATCTAAATTAGAGAATGCCTGAAGCCTTTCTTGGATATAATATTTGTAATTGTTGTGCTGGCCCTGGCTCAGTTAAGCAACCTATGACTTTTTTGGATGAGTGCGGTCCCTTCTATTTTTGCAAACCAAAAAAGTTAAATGTCAGCCCGACATGAATGCTCCCCAGACTGACTGGTAGCCTCCCTAGCCGGTCCTCACACAGGGCACTTTGATGCGCTCTCTGAATGGTCCTAGTGCCTTAACTCCATATAGCCGAAGTGCCGAACCAAACCGAACTGAACTGAAGTGCTGAAGTCCCGAATTTCGGATCGAACCGAATATTTTTCCCATGCACAACCCTAACAAAAAGGAATTGGGGGCACACCCAGAACATGCATTTTGCAGGAAGGGTGCTTTAGTAGTGACCAAAATGTATACATAATACAGATTAGGAAACATGCACACATAAAAACACATTTTTAAATTCCATAAGGCTACTTAAAATCACCTATCTCCACAAGCACTTAAGGGATTTAGTTCCACCATATGGTCATTTTGAGATAGGTGGCCTTACCAAAATTTAAAAACGTATTTTTATGTGCGTGCTGTTTCTTAATCTGTATTATGTCTGTCTGTCTTAGTCACACCATATATAAAATGTGTCTATCTGTCTGACAAACGTTTTGGAAAAAGACTAAGACTAAATCTGCTTGACTGTCTTACTACGGTAACTCCGTAGAGAAAATGAGTGTGTCTGCCTTCGTGACTACATATAGAATGTTAGTGTGTCTGTCTGTTTTACTAACTTCATACAAAAAGTGATTTATAATTCAACATATTTTAGCCAAATGTTGTGAAGAAACCTATATACCCATCAACTAAATATAAACCAGGGCTGTCTTTAATTCCCTGGGCCTACCTATCGCTGGAATCGATGAAAGATGGGCTTTTCAAGTACTGTTTGAAACGCAGTTCAAAAGCGTGTCCAATTGTGCTGATCACTTCCTGAGCCTTGCTGCTTAAACACTCCAAAATGTGGCAAGCTAAAATAAAGATTCACAAACGAGAAGAACATTATGATTAAGAAATCCTGTACATATTTGTTAAATGCAAGCTAAATTGTCTTTTTTTTTAAGGTTCATATTTATCCTATTCTATTACAAGAAAGTAAATTTTATTGGTTTTTTAGAATCATACCTCATAAAGAAAAAAAATGAACGAAAATATGTTTTAAACTAATACTCATTCCATGTGCTATACTTTGAATTAATGTTACTTGGCAGATGTATATGAAATATAGATTATGTGAATAATTTGCAGTAAATATATTTTCTGTTTGTAATATTAACGTTTATTAATAAATAGGTAATAGAACAGTAGATATACAACTAAACTTGCTGACAATGTGTTATATCCAAACTATAATAAACAAATAAATAAAAGTAATATTTTTCCTTAATTTATACTTTAAAAAAATATATTTTATTACAGAGAGAGAGCGTCCATCTCCGTTAATTTGTTCATAAAGACTTTGCTTAATAGTAAAATTGCTTCAATAGATGTTTTTCCTATCACTGCAGTAATGCTTAGTATTATTTTCATATTTCCCGATTGAAATAGATAGGATTCTACAATTAAACTTTTTTAAATCATAGAATTTAGCAGGAATAATTTAGAATGAATCAATAAAAACAGTCAGCTGTACCTTTTGCTTAAAATTCCATGTATGTTTCAATCCCATTTTTTCAGTTAATTGCTAAAATATATATATATATTATATCTTCCATTTGCCGCTGGCCACTGAAGAGTGAAAATTCAGCCCTTGTAAGTGTGTTATAGACTTTTCAGGCAGTGGAGAGTAACTGTTAAAGCCTAGCTAGTAGTGTCGGTTTCAAAAATGTAGGGGTTTGAAATAAAATATTTTATTTTAGATAAAACAACAGTATTGCTATAGAATAGGACCCGACAAAAACTGAAATGTACTGGTTGTACGATAGTGCTAGTTTTGCATCCCCAAAGTATGCTATGATAAAAGTGAATAACTAATTTTCTTGTAGTGTTTCCATCAACATTGCATTATTCATCCATATTCCATAATTAGAACCATGTGAGTGCTAGTTATTGTATTTCACCTCTAGATGGCAATGTTCAATCATTTATGTTGAGAGAGTGAGTGTGTGTGTGTGTGTGTGTGTGTGTATACATATATATATATAAGCACAATTTTACAAATGTGTTTAACCCCTTAAGGACACAGGACATGTGTGATATGTCATGATTCCCTTTTATTCCAGAAGTTTGGTCATTAAGGGGTTCATAAGGTTGATAACATCAATTACAGTGCAGATGTGACACAGTCTAGGTTTGTTAAATATCATGTTGCCTCATGGTAAGAAAAAAAGGAATGGCTTTGTTTCTTCTGTAAATTAGAGACTGGGCAAAATTGAATGCAATTCAGGCAGATGTATTGATGTTTCATCTGCAGTACCTTTTAAAGCAAGAGGTCATAGAAAAATATAGCAAGGCAAATATCAGATTTTTTGTTAAAGAAGGGATCGTTGGTTCTATCATCCAGCAAATCAGTTGCCAGTAGGGTGTGCACTGGTGAAGTTTACTAAGATAGTGTGGTCGCTAAACTGCTAAGGTAGATGGGATGGTGCTTTCGTAATTTTCTTTCAGGGCAATAACATGGTGATGGCGAAGCAGAATCTCACATCTGTGGATTTTTCCACACAGGTTCAAGAAATACTATAGAATGAAGTATTTGTGGCACATATTGCTTGTCAATTCCAAGAGCTCCTACTGTTTTTCCATTTGGGTTGGTTTCATTATCTCATGTGCTACTGGTTTCAGGAGATTTTTATGTGGACCTTTGTCTTTCAATGGGTTGTGCCATTTTGTGCTCCTATTTCAAGATGTTCAGTACTTTCCTGAAAAGGATGGTGCAACAGGATGCTGGTGGAGATTCTTTGATACATTTCTTGGATGACACCACTGTAGTCATCTAAGCCATATATATATATATATATATATATATATATATATATATATATATTTGTTATTTTTGGGGAGTATTCTTCTTCATTTCGTTTGTATCTGTTTCTTCTTCTGTTCTAAGATTATTGTTTTATTTTGTTTTTGCTTTTTTTTAGTTCACCCCCTAACCTTTATATTTATTATGTCATGGACCTTTACTTTGTTTTTTTTCTCCTCTTCATTATTTCTTATGAAGATTACTTTTTTAATACCATGCTCACTTGCAACTGCATTTTGACATTCCATAAATCTAGCTTTTGTTGCTCAACTTCCTATGTCCCTGGTTCATTCACCATACCATCTCAGTAATATCATCCATGCTGCGTTTGGGCAGTACCATGCCCCAATCACCAAACTAAATTTTAGAAATCTTGGGTAAAGCATTCTTGAGTCCTCTTATTGAAATCTGACCATGATCCCAGGTGAATCATACAGTGGTGTATTTACAGTTCACACACAATTAGGTTGGTGTGTTGTTTGACTGACGTATTCATGATCATGGATGGATGGAGGGGTGGGTGGATGGATGGGTAGATTGAATGCTGGATGAGTGGGTGGATGGATGGATTGCAAAAGAACACAGATGTATGTTTAAAACATCATTCATCACTCTATGCTACTGAATAATAACAAATAGTTTGGTTATAATCGTACCTCTTTGGTTAACTGGATCCTTGGCAACGTACGCAACATAATCTGTTGTATCCTTTAAAAAATAGAATAAACACTTTCAAATTATATTTACAAATTAAATATAAATACTCAATCAGTAGAGATGTTTGCTAGCATATGTATGATTTCATGTAATCTGAATAAAAAATTATAGTTACAAACAAAAGGTTACATGTAAATGTTATTGTATATATTACGACAATCTTATTTTGCATGCACTGTGATTAAAAAGAAAAATCCAGTCTACAACTGCTGTGTATTAAGATATTTTGAAACCACGTACCTTTTGACCCGTTGTAAACTAGATTTAAGTGTCTAGATGACAATAGAGAAGTTAGTGAAATCTATGATATTTTCCTGGCTATCTACACAAAATTGCTGTGTTGATGTAACGTTTGTATTCGGTTGATTGCCAGATATGCATCACATTCTATATTTAACAAGAGTGGTCTAGAAGGCTCCACTAGGGACCTACCATGCAGAAATGACACATCACACCACTCTGGTTTCAAACAAAGCAATGCATCAATCCTGAGTATTCATGTATGAACATTTTGATTATGCAAAGTCCTCTATTTACTATTTACAACCCTCTACCTAAAGGTTGTGTCTTACTGCAGTCTCCATTAACACAATAGTGTGTTTTCCTGTGTGTTCAACTTGTCTGGTTATAACTACATGTCTGTTCGTCCACTCATTGTAAAGCACTGTGGCATTTGATGGCGCTATATAAATACCATAATAATAATAATAGTTTGATTCCAAGTAACAATGTGGCTTTTTCCCCCCTTATTCCTATTTTCTGGAAATCTAGTCTTGGCTTCATTTAATATTTGCTTGACTTCTATATCCCTTGACCTCAGATCGGTTCTGACTAGTGATGTCCCGAACTGTTCGCCGAACGGTTCGCGAACGGTTCGCCACGAACGGTTCGCCGCGGACTCATCATTGAGTAAACTTTGACCCTGTACCTCACAATCAGCAGGCACATTCCAGCCAATCAGCAGCAGACCCTCCCTCCCAGATCCTCCCACCTCCTGGACAGTTCACTAAGAATGCAGCTTCACAATGAATGTAAAATGGATGCTGTACAGGAGGTGGGAGGGTCTGGGAGGGAGGGTCTGCTGCTGATTGGCTGGAATGTGTCTGCTGACTGTGATGTACAGGGTCAAAGTTTACTCAATGATGAGTCCGCGGCGAACCGTTCGCGAACCGTTCGGCGAACAGTTCGGGACATCACTAGTTCTGACTATTCTTGCCATTTCAGGTTCTATTTATTTGATCTATCTAGGGGTACTCACATTAAACCTGATCATTCTAAGGATCAGCATAACTCACCAGATCTCAAAAATGCACCCATAAACCTATATGATTAAGCCAATTCGCCAACACCAAAACTAATTAGCTGTTCTAATTGGTGTCTCATGCATCAAATAAACATACTTTAGTTCATCTTCACAATTTATAAATGACTAGTACAGAGGCTGTGTAGACTTTGCAGAACCCGGATATAGACAATACAAAAACAGTCCCAATTCAAATGTATAACCAACTCTTACAGAAGGCGTTGTGTACCCACTATACTGGACCACAAAATCAGACTACTGTTCACATATCCCTGCTGCTTTGTGAATGACAGTGTCTGTATGGAAGAAGCCTGTATGTATGGAGCCTCCTTATTAATTCGACCCATTAAATAATAACACATTTTCTGCGATTAGCCATTTGTTTGCATTTATAAAGTAATAATATGAATACTACCTCTAAATGCACATCTTTTAATAGAAAATAAAATATTGTTCTTTCAAATAATAAAATTCTGTAGCTTCGCAAAAATCGGTGTTAAATATGTGTCATGCTCATTTTGCATCTATTTTCGATAAACTAAATATTCTATAATACTCACGGGATCTCCACCAGAGGCGAAGGAAATTGACTGCATGTGATGATTTGCAACTACCTAAAATATAATTTACAAATTGAGGTGTGAATAAACTGTGAACAAAAAAGTGAGACATGTTTATTTAAAGCAAATTTTAAATTTTTTTATTTTTTTTTAAAGAACAGCTTGCATATGCAATGTCTAAATGGACAAGTATCATATGTTAACATACCTGCTTAGTGTCAACATTAGTTAGAATTAAGCTGTTTGTTGATATTGTCAATGTCACATTCATGCCAGAAAATTGCAAGTTGCTTTTGCCCAGTACGGAGGACAGGAATTTCAGTGGAGGCTAAAGTGGGAAACAGAATATTTTATTTTAGTATAAAAATAGTATAAAAGTATTTTTAGAACCTACTGTATAATTATTACTCAACAGATTTCAGTCCATGAAAAGTTTAAACATACACACACACACTCTCTCTCTCTCTCTTTCTCTAATTTGTCTGTTTTCATTAAATGTTTCAAGTATGTTGTTAATTACCGACAAATCGAGTGGATAAGCTCAATAAAACTGATTGTTTTTAAAATAGTTTCAAAATTGTATTAACTCAATTTAAAACAATTTCAGTAATACAAAAGGATTGATCTTAGCAATATCATTGAGCAGAGCATGGGGTTAATTGACATATCATGATAAAGGAAGGATATATTAAATGGTTATTACACGATACAGTATATCACAACCCATTAGTGTGGTAAGCAAACCATACATTAACGTGTTCCTTTAATTGACATCACGCAAATTTGAGAATCAAATTTCCGTGATGTAAATTGTTGCTCATAAATTTCCTATTATTCTCAGGATTTCTTCCTGGGTTGTTGAAATAAGTCACCAATTTGCTAAAGTCTATGAGAATTAGTAAGTGCTTTGATAGGAAATCCAGACATATCTTTTCAATGGTGAATTATGTTCCAATTTGGCAATTAGAAGATTGCGTATTTTCCTGTAATTCATATTCCCTCATTCTGGTCATATGGAGGATAATTTCACCTAAATCAGATTCAATAAAGAGGCTTTTCAGACATGCACGGAGATCACATGTATCAGACATTATGATTCCTTTGAATTTCTTGAAAATGAATGGACTTTCAAATTGACCTAATTTGGCCTTATTTATGAAACAGGCACAATTGAAGTTTTTTTTCTTGTACTCAATGAGAAAATGCTCTTACTTTATTAATAACGTGTTAAGATTTCACACTAAGGCAAAGATTTCGAAGACTGGCACTCTAAATATTAATTTTTTGACAGCATTTTATTTAAGCATTTATTGAAGCATTTTGTCATTTGTACTTGGTAAGGAATGCATAATAAACAATGCCCCAAGATAAAACAAGCATTTTGAAAGTATAAGAAGCCTCGCAGCAAATGACATGTCAACATACAAAGGTTGAACAGTCCATACAAAGAGAACCTCACAATCAAATACAACATGAATGAGCCCCAGAAAATAAAAGCATATTATGTACACCAGTGAGCCTATTATAAAGGCCCCTGCTATACCAGTTTAAGGAAGCCCAATCCAAGGTGTCAACGTAACAATAATTTTCCAGCAGAATTCAAGCTCTGCTAAAGAGGCTAGAGAGAGACAAAAGAAGAGTGGGGAGAGAAAAAGAAAGTAGAAACAGAAAGAAATAATAAAACATGTCAGAAGAGAAGTAGAAATATAACCTAGACCCCACCTTACTCTAATGTGCCAATGCAAGGACTGAGAGCAAGACCGCTCCAACCTACATGGGACAAACAGGAGTTCTACCCTCCCTCTAGATGAGCTACAAAACCCTGCCAAGGGAGCCATATCTTTTGAAATCTCTTCTTCATGCCACCTTCATTTCCCTCTTCTCTTCCATCTTAGCTATCTATTGGTCTAAGCTAGAGGTGAAAGTTTTTTTCAAGAGAGTAGAGATGAACTCTCTAGTCACATTCAGAAAGTACTGTGTTAGAAGCCTTTTAAAGTTAGAGATAGGTACCGGGGTGAACAGGATACTCTTACCCAACAATGGTGAGCTTTGTCTCATATATCTGGGACCAAAATGGCAATTCCACCAAACATGGAGAAGGGTGCCACCATATAGTTACATAGTTACATAGCTGAAAAGAGACTTGCGTCCATCAAGTTCAGCCTTCCTCACATTTGTTTTTTGCTGTTGATCCAAAAGAAGGCAAAAAACCCAGTTTGAAGCACAATTTTGCAACAAGTTAGAAAATAAATTCCTTCTTGACCCCAGAATGGCAGTCAGATTTATCCTTGGATCAAGCAGTTATTACCCTACATTGCCAGCATTTGTTGGGGACACTTGGGAACATCCTGTTTAGGAGGTAAGGCATACAGTGCCACTAAGACAAAGGTTTATGCTTATAGAGAAACAATGAACAAGAGAGCAAATCATGAACCACTGCCCTTCTGAGAAGACCGTCATCAAATCAACTTCCCAGCGTTTCTTGAATTTAGGAGGAGATGGCTTTGTTGGGGTTTCAGAAGCTGGTAGAGAATAAAAATACCCATTCATAAGAGGGTTACACGTGTGACAATAGTTTTGAATTGTGTCAAATCCCTATGTAGGAGAGACTTCTCTACCAGCGAGTTATTATGATGTTTTATTTGATGCTAAGTGAATTGTTCAGCCAACAGAATACAGCCTGCATACACCCACTCCAAGTCTACTCAGTGTGTAGTACAATCCTGGGCCTGTCAGTCAAGAACACACAGCAGATGTATAGCTAGCATAAGATCTAAAAGAGGGGAATCTGACTTCCAATTTTAGTCTAAGTTCCCTTCCAGTCTATATGAACGTCCACAGCATGGAATCTAAGGAGTTGTAAAAAGTCATCAGAAGTCTTATGGTGATTGTCTGCATGAGTTATAAAACCCAGTGAAAGCATATTCATTCTGACCGTGCTAAGTCAGCCAAACCAGGATACATGAAGCTTGCTTGATTTCAGATACGACTGAAGAGATCTAAAGAGCGGAAGGAAGTTTCTGGGGATAAAGTTGGTCTGGGTCTTTATGGATTCATAAAGTGAAGAGAAGTGGTTTCTTAATCTAGCCGCTACTGCAAAGGAAGCATTCACATTCAATATCTCGCACTTATCTAGATTCAAGATTAACTAGAGCTCTGTATTCTGAGAGCAGTGGCATAGAACTGTGGAGTATTATCTGAGGCCGACTAACAAAACAGAAAATATCATCCAGGTAGCCAGTGACTTTGTGTTCCATCCCACCCAATTTGCACTCTCTGATACTGCTATGCAGCCTAATCGCCTCTAACAAAGGCTTCAGTGTCAAAGTAAACAGCAACGGGGACAGCAGGCACCACTGTCGGATACCACTCCCAACAGACACTGGCTACGTTTACATTTCAATATTTGTGTGTGTCTGGCAGTGTGTATCTTTACCTTTGTGTTTGATTAATAGAATTCTGAGGACATTGCAAGCAAAATACAAAAACAAAGTAAGCAATTCTAAGCCATCACGCAAATACATATTTTATAAAAAAAAAAAATACGAACAGATATTGCTTTGAGCCCTTATAAGCAAAAAACTACCAAGAGCACTAGAATAAAGCTCGTGTGGAATTATTTCCTGTTTTTTATCGTTAGTCCAGCTTTAAGTATATAGTAGTTTTGATGTAATATTCTACATTAAGCAAGTACCATCCCAAACTTTGACATGCCACTGGCTGCTTATTGCTTTTATTGTAAGAAAAATGTCATAATCTCCAGAGTCTAAAACACCCACCTGTGGTACACTTACATATATAAGTAATAAAACAATCCACACCAGGTCCACGTCTTGGAGGCCCTTTTGCCTGTCGGCGAGGGCTGAGGTCATGCTTCACGAGAGCCTGGGTGCCATAATGGCAGCTCTGTCTGACTGTTTAATTTTATATGTCTCTTGGTATTCCACTAGCCATTAGACTGCTACTAGACCATGACAGGGCCTCCTTGGTGGGCAAAAGTCATACTCATTCAAATAGCCTGCAAACATGTATTATAATTGTGCACTTTCTCATTCAATGACCCTGCCATTTGAACGTAACCAAGTATTTTTGCTTTCGTAAGCCTCATGCTCTCGGATATGTTGTTTATTTAGTTTATTCTGCATGTTATATATATATATAAAAAAAAAGTGCGACATTCCTGTCAAGCTCTACGTATGTTACTATGTCTTTATCTGCACGGATTTTTGTTTTTTTTGCACAGCAAAAAAAATAAAAAAATACCATTGCTAGGATATTCTGTTTAGTTTCTCATATTTACCTTTCGCTTCTTTGTGGTTCCTTTAGCACCCGGCACAGCTTCACAGAGCCGACTTATTGCTTCCCTGTAAAATACATAAAAAGTCATGTTATCGTTCAGTTCCCAGTTATTATTTACCAAGTTATTAGTATTCTACATATTTAGGAATTATGGAATTTAATACATTTACATCAAACCTTGAACTTGCAGTTTTTGTACATGTTTTATATAACTAGGATATATAGCTTGTGTAGGCAACATAGCATTTACAGAATTTGGGTAAAGTTGAGATGAACAGATTATGTAATTTGCAATAAAATTATAAACTAAAAATCAAGGTAAGGAGGTGTGGGATTTAAACTTTTAATATCAGCATTGCATAATATATCAGATACAGTATTAAAATATAGCAGATGCTTTTTTTTCTGGTTGTGATCACATATACCAGCACATATAATTGTCAGGAGAAGCACTAATATGTAACTGCACATTTCACTATGGAAAAGGTTTTGTTCCAACAAAAACGCAATCAATATAGCAATATAACAAAACAAAATTATTATTATTATTACAAATTATTGTTATTGTGATGTAGTAATGTCTATTTTGTTATTTAAAGGGATTCTGTAGTGCCAGGAATATTAAGCTGTATTCCTGGCACTACTGCTCCCCCTGCCTCACCCCTCTCTTGTGCCCTCTCCCCCCCTTCCCGATAAACAAAGGATTCAAAACCCTTTATTTACTTACCTTTAGCCAGCGCCAATGTCGTTGGAGCTGGATCCATGCTCCGCCCCCTCCTCCATCCTGCGGCGAGAGGGATCTACAGCACATGTGTGGCAAATGCCGTGTGCGCATTACACCTCCCCATAGGAAAGTATTGAATCAATACTTTCCTGTGGGGTAAAATCTGACTCTGGAGGTCCTCAAGCATCCAGCGTCAGATACCGGACCAAAGGTCCGTTTCAATTCAGGAAGCCCTCTAGTGTCTGTCTGGTAGACAACAACTGAGGGCATATTTGAGCTGCAATGTAAACATTGCAGCACTAAATGCAAAAGGGACAGTGCACCCAGATCACTTCAACAAGCTAAACTGGTCTGGGTGCCTCCAGTAACCCTTTAAGTGTATTCTTGCTAATTATATCACTCTTTACAGTAAGTCCAGGTTCAAAACTCATATCCATGGGGTGTGACTTGGACAATGTGCTGTATTGACGGCTGAGTCCTGGGGTCAGGTCATGGTGCACGAAAACTTGCTTAGTACAGACACCCAAAGGGCAATATTTTGACCACTACCTAGTATAATTGCACTCCGCACACTATGAAGTCATCACAGAAAAGGCACTAGAAGTAGGATCACACGTTGGCACCACTTTTTACTGCGTACCCTAAGGGGAATAATATGTTCCAAGATGGCAGCTGGGGGAGTCCGGGTGGCTCAAAAGAGGAGTATGATGGTCCGACACCTCCTTACCTTGCAAGAATACTGCAGCCAATGCAGTCTAACAGAGCATACCTGCAGCTGAAATAGAAGAGAGTGCAGAGGAGGTGAAGGCAGAATTCCAAGCCCTGGGGGCCCATACTACAGAGTCAGAAAAACGGATTGAGACAGTAGTCTCAGAAACTGAGCACATAACACTGTGGTGAACTTCACCAATGATCTACACAGTTGGCTTCATGTGGTGGGGAGTATGCTGGAAAATATATCCAACAGGTCTCGCTGACATAATGTGCGGAACAGGGGGCTGCCAGAATCAGTGGGAGAGGGCTCTCTCCAACAACTGTGCTGGATATTTTCAGACCCTAATGCCAGAAATGAAGAGCATAGCTGGATAGTGGACAGAGTTCATAAGGAATTGAGAGCCTGATACGCCAACGATACGGCAACATGCCCAGGGACATAGTCATCTGGTTCCACTACAGCTCAACAGTTGAAGCCCTCAGGCAGTACAATATACATTACACCTGGGGACATTTAGGCTTTGGCTTTTAAAGGAGGGAAGACGTTGGTGCACCAGTTAGCAGGGGACCCAGCAAAGTTCCTCCAGACCCTGGGTATAACAGCTCTGTGATGGATCCTGTCATGGACCTAGGGTTGGGTTCTCTTGTTTGGGTGCGAATTTTACTATATTTTAAATCCCTAACCATATGACAGAAAATATAAATTCCAAGGAGGTGGAGCCTAAGCGGAGCGGAGCCTAAGCCTCATGCTGAACAGACGTGTATCGGGCGAGCTCCCGCTTGTCTCGCTGATTATGGGGGACAAAAACCCACCACAGCACCCAAATCGGGGAAACTCCACGCAGCCTAAACTGGGGGTGCAATGGGGAACACAACGGTACCCTTCTCGGAACCCTCTAGCGCCAGAGAGACGGGAGAAGCATGCAGAGGCCTACGGGCGATGGGGCTGGGGAAAGACGGCTGACTTCCCTGCTCCCAAGCTTGCCGTGCGGGCCACCTTCGCTCCGACCCCCCCGGACCGGTGGGGGTTATCCCGGTCCCTGCCAAGTCAAACTGCTCAGCCCTGACGCCATTGTGGGAAGCTCCGGCACCTAAAGAGCACACCCCCATACCTGCTAAAAAGGCGGGAAGGCCTTCGACAAAGGAGCAGAGCCTGAAACCAACATACCCTGGGGGAAGCAGTAGCATGGAGAGCCCCTCACAGAGACTGGAAGCAATATTCCAAGACCTCTGGGCCCGACTAGAAAGACGCATGGCGACAACCTCACTGCAGCCTAAAGATCAAACACGAGGACAAAACCTACTCTCTGGCAAACTACCTGGGGGACGCGGGTTTTTCCAGCATCCTGCTCCTCCTATACTGCACAAACCCAAGTAGCAGAACAACAGGGTCTTGACCCCTTCCCCCCTGCCCAGAGGGAAGAGGGTTGCACCTCACAAGCTAACAAGGCAAAGAGCCACACTTCAACTCCAGTGGTTGTGGGAGACCACTCGCCAACCTAGTCGGAGAGCTGTACTCCAGCCGCAGGGTCAGCAGAGATCTGCAGTCCACATGTACCGGCAACAACATCTGAGGGATGCACTGACCCAGACTCCCAGCATCTGAGCACACAAGGTAGAGCCACAGGTCCAAAGAAGGACGGACGCCCTGACAAGACTTTGCCTAGCCAGAACCCCTTATGGACAGACATGGGCTGTAGTGGGGAGGACAGGATCTGTAGTGGGGAACAAAGGCTATAGATGGTGGGCAGGGCTGAGGTGGAGGCACAGTGGGGGACCAGGGCTGAAGTGGGCGGTGTAGTGGCTGTAGTGGGGATATGGGCTGTTCCAAAAAATATTTTTTTTATTAAAGAGAAACTAAAGTGTATTTCCCCCTCCCTGATGATTACCTTTGGCCAGGGAGGGAGTTCTGATCCCTGGTGCTAGGGTGGGAAATGCTGCATTCTTTTCCACGGTAGGAGGAGACAGGTCCTTCTGGCCGGTGTCGAAAAATGTTCGAGAGCATTGCCATAGTAACCCACGGCAGTGCTCTGATATACCAGAAGAATAGAGGGCCTACCTTACTTGAGCAAATAAAACTTATTGCAAATGCAATTAAAAAATATAGCATTTTCAAACTGATCTTACAGCTCAATGTGTTCAATTTGGAAATTCCTATCTCCTGCTCTGGTAAATGAATTTTCATCACACACAGGAGGTAGCTGCAGGCTCTAGCAGGCAATTAACTGATAAGGAAATAAGAAATTCTAAATTAAACACACTGTGGGAAATTTAAACAATTTGGCTAAGTTTCAGGATGTGTGTAGGGAGACTGTGTGAGTCACTAGAGCTGCTTAAACAAAGTCAACTAACTCCTAAATGACAGGAAATTGAGCAATTGACTGCAGGGCCACGATCGGTACCCCAAAACCACTACATTAAGCTAAGAACTGTAAACATAACAGCTCAATGTAGTGGTTATGGTGACAGAAATGTGTAGTCTTCACAGAGCAAATTGTCAAACCATTTTAAAAAGTTTTGACAACCTACCTGAGATCTTTATTTGGCTGTAGGGGTTGTGGCGCTCAGCGTGTTCCTTTAACCCCTTAAGGACACATGACATGTGTGACATGTCATGATTCCCTTTTATTCCTGAAGTTTGGTCGTTAAGGGGTTAAAGAGAAGTAAAAGGCCTTTAAGACAAGTCATTCTCCTTATAAATGTCTTCTAAATCTGTTTAAACTATTCCATTCCCTTACAATTTAATTACACAATTTATAATACCAAATCTTTGTGCATATTTTGCCATAATATCACCTGTTACTCCATTGCCTCGGTTTATTCCTATGTATTTGTACATGTTGACATGAGTACTAATACACTTACATGCACATGGCTTAAGAAAAATATGGTCCAGGCACTCAGGATCATGTGCAGCTGTTTTATCGGAAAACAGAATGCCAATAAAACTGCTGCACATGATAAGCAGCAGGAAATGCTAGCATAATGCTTGGTTGTATAGGGAGAGGTATTAGCAGTAGAAAGAGGGAAGTGCTCATGCCATTGTACAGAATACTGGTGAGACCTCACTTGGAGTATTGTACGCAGTACTAGAGACTGTATCTTCAGAAGGATATTGATACTTTAGAGAGTTCAGAGAGGGGCTACTAAACTGGTTCATGGATTGCAGGATAAAACGTACAAGGAAAGGTTAAAGGATCTTAAAGGACCACTATAGTGCCAGGAAAACATACTCGTTTTCCTTACACTATAGTGCCCTGAGGGTGCCCCCACCCTCAGGGTCCCCCTCCCGCCCGGCTCTGGAAAGGGGAAAGGGGTTAAATCTTACCTTTTTCCAGCGCTGGGCGGAGAGCTCTCCTCCTCCGATCCTCCTCTTCTCCTCCTCTTCTCCTCCCCGTCGGCTGAATGCGCACGCGCGGCAAGAGCTGCACGCGCATTCAGCCGGTCACATAGGAAAGCATTCATAATGCTTTCCTATGGACGCTGGCGTGCTCTCACTGTGAAAATCACAGTGAGAATCACAGTGAGAAGCACGCAAGCGCCTCTAGCGGCTGTCAATGAGACAGCTGCTAGAGGAAATAGGGGAAGGCTTAACCCATTCATAAACATAGCAGTTTCTCTGAAACTGCTATGTTTATGAAAAAATGGGTTAACCCTAGCTGGACCTGGCACCCAGACCACTTTATTAAGCTGAAGTGGTCTGGGTGCCTAGAGTGGTCCTTTAACATGTATAGCCTGGAGGAAAGACGAGACAAGGGGGATATGATAGAAACATTTAAATACATAAAGGGAATCAACTCAGTAAAGGAGGAGACTATATTTAAAAGAAGAAAAACTACCACAACAAGAGGACATAGTCTTAACTTAGTGGGTCGAAGGTTTAAAAATAATATCTGGAAGTATTACTTTACTGAGAGGGTAGTGGATGCATGGAATAGCCTTCCAGCTGAAGTGGTAGAGGTTAACACAGTAAAGGAGTTTAAGCATGCGTAGGATAGGCATAAGGCTATCCTAACTATAAGATAAGACTAGGGAGTAATGAAAGTATTTAGAAAATTGGGCAGACTAGATGGGCCGAATGGTTCTTATCTGCCGTCACATTCTTTGTTTCTATGAGTGCATGGACCATATTTTTCTTGCACCCTTGGAATAAGATTAGCCAGCCCCAGGTTTGGAAGCACCAGGACCTAGTATATGAGTGCGGTGTCCTCTCTTGGTTGAATACATCCATGCACATTACATTAATGAAATATGATAATGATTCTACAAGTGCATACCATCAAGAAAAGAATAATATGTTGCCACATGACCAGGCCATCAGACATTTTACACCAATTTGAAACATTTTACCAGTAACTTACTGCTTTATTCCTGTCCTGACTACGTATACAGTGCTACATTTAGTTGAGTTTCCTAAACGAAGAATGTTTGGTAAAATCGTCTATATTTTTATTCCCAAACCACAAGATGAAAACAAAAAAAATGAGTTAATTGAGGTCAAGGCGAATGGTAATTCCATTTAAAATTGAATTCACCAACCCCAAAATTATATGTCAATGGTGACCAAGCAATGTAAAAGTGACTAACAGGGTAATTGTTCTCAAAGAGACAGATGGAGTGAAAATCTATACTTTTTTTTTGTACCGCACAAAGATTTTGTTGTACACAGTTTAACTTTCTAGCTCCTCTTTTTTCCTTTTACTCAGTAAGCTTATTAACAGGGAGCCCCTTTGTTCAAGTTAGGTTTTAAAGGAGGGGGAAAAATGATATAAGAAGTTTAGAATGTTCTCGAAAAAATTGTTTTTAAGGGCAAAAAGCTCAGTGGCAATCCAGAGCTCAAAGCTTTTTTTTGTTCGAAGAAAACGGAAACCCATATGAACAAAGATAGTTATTGAGCAATTATCTCGTATTGAGCAAAATGCAGATTTAGTAAAATGAAATTATTGTTTCTATCTTGAATTGAGCATAAGACAAGACGTACGTGTATGGAAATTGCTTAATTTCTTTGATTATCCTTGGTTGTTCCGTGCAAGTTCAAAATTACAATAAAATTAGAGAGTATTCACTCTATGTTACAGGAAGATTGGATCAAATGGCATTAGAGTCTTATTCATTTATGAAGCAGTGAGATGCAGTAAGCTGGGTAACCAGTTCAAAGAAATGAGCTTTTAGCTAAAATGGATTTTCCTTAAAATAAACTTTATTTAGACAATGACAAGTGCAAACAAACAGTTTTGCACATTTCTCTCCCTTATTGGTGTTTAATCACAGACTGCCAGGGTTTAATCATAGCCAACGATAAAAGCAAAAAAGTCACAATGTAGAATTATTTTTAAACGCACTCATTACACTGACAGACAAGAAGGATGCACAGGAACACAGGGATTGAGGTCCCTGCTCACCGAGCTTACATGCTAGAGGGAGTGGAGTATAGTGACACAAAAGGTAAGGGTAGTACGAATCACAAATAACATAATTATTAGAGCATTACACTATCACAAAATCATTTTCAGTTCTAGAATAAAATTCTGTGTAGCAATAAAAATGCTGTACCGGTAGATGTCAGTATACAGGAATATAATGATTTTGCGTAGGAAGTAATGAAATGCACAGAAAATGTCAATATCTAATAAATGGTGACATATGCTGATTTCCACATTATTATGAAGTTGGTCGGCATTTAGAAAAATTAAAGAAGGCCCAAGGCACCTGAAACCCTGCACCAATGGAACCCACTGACAGCTGCGGAGTTTGTGCCCAGACCACCTTCTTCGGAACCCTATGCCCAAGCCACCACTTGAAAGCAGCTGGAACCTCCTCCTACCGAGAATGTACCTGACCTCTGGGACTTTATAGTTTCACTCATTCTTGCTGGGACATGACAAATAGTCAACCATCCAGGCTTCCGACATGTTCCCCCACACCTCCCCCGCCCCATGCCTATGGATGACTTAGGCACGGGGAGTATTCTCCCTGGTTGATGACTACAGCGAGGGCTAGATAGGACAGGGAGACACACTTCCCACAAGCGACCGAGACCCTTCGTCATGCTTGCTCTTTTAGTTTTTGATTTGTGCCTAGCGACAATCATAACCTAACTTCTAGTATTACTGTTTACCTCCTGCCGACAGAGCCACGACTATGCCTCTACATAAATACCCACAGCACGACTTATGTACATATCACGACTACACCGCCTATATGTTCGTAGTGCTCTATATAGTCCTTAAGCTTTTTACTAGAGCCCTCTACAAAATCCAGCACAGCCTTACTGCATAGTTCCACGGAAAGGGTCAGTCTGCTTAGTTATAAGCAACTAAACTGGTATAACCCACAGTTAACCCACTGTTAACCTTTTTACTTACACAATTACTGCAGCATGACATAGCACAGTCTAACCAACTAAGCTCTGAGCTTACTCATGCAATAGTTAACTTCTGATTATTCACCTTTTTAAAAAATGTGCAAGTTCTATCAAATGTCCTATATGTGTGTATATGCTTTGTAAGCTCTACTGCTTGTTACCTGCTCTTGGGGCATGACAAGCGTGTCTGTAACAATATGCACAGCAAAAATAAAGAATAAAAAAAAAGAAAAAGAAAAATGAAAGAAGGAATAAATTTTACCATCAAATATAAGACAGAGCAACAAATAACACATTTTTTTTTTTTTTTTTTTAAAAAGGGAAAAAATATATAGCAGAAATGTACAAGAAAAACAAAAGAAGGCAATCAACCAGATAAAGAACAAAAAATATACTGTGATCATTGGGGAAATTTCTTCAAATATACGCTTTGTTTTAGACATATCAGGACAGGGGGATTTCTGCATAACAGAAAGTAACATGTCGGTAGCTGAGAACACCTACAGTTTGCATTGAGAGTCTCAGTTCGCCACATTTATCAGTTTAGTGAATAAATTAAAAGTATTTGAATTTTCCGTTTAATCTCTTTGTATTGAAATGCATTAGCTTGTAATGTGTATATATACAATGTTTTAGAGAGCAAGTTATATGTTCAAATCCCATGGTGGTTAACATAATCTTTATGTTACTCTCCATAACGCATGGTTTTACTAATTGCATACAGTTTGGGACCCCCTAAGCATTAGTGGGAATTACATTTCCAGATGATAGTTACTATTTGTAGCTCCCACCATTAACATTTAGCCCAATCCCATTAATATGTTAGAAGCTGAGCTAAAGAGACAGAAACAGTGCAATTCTGTCGCTCCAGGCTCTTCTCCATGCCGGATCATTGTTGGGGTATAGACTGAATTAATGATTGCACCTACTGCCTGGGAGTGTAAATATCACCAATATCAGGTGGGCCACACCATGTTCCAAGATGTGAAAAAAAGCAAGTAGAATAAACAAAATATATAGTAATTTGAGGGTTCAGAAGCTAGTCATAAATGTATTTTACACTATTATGATAACTCCAGAAATAATTTTCCTGCAATACATAGTTAACTCTATCTCTTTCTATACATAGAAAGACAGAGAAAGAGAAATAGAGAGAGCTACAGTATACAGGTATATACATATATAAATGAAATATATCGCTCTGTGAATGTAACTATAACACCACACACATCCTTTCTGTATAACCATCTGTGGGACCAGCAGTGCGTAAAAATTGGTTTCCTTTACAGACGGGATTGTACCACTTTGATAAACTGTACTTTGTATTTTAATAGAGCATAAAAGGGAGCGATTGTATGATTTCCATTATTTAATATTTGAATGCATTCATTTGCGTTGTTTTGTAAGGGCTTACTTTTAATAAAATAATATTGAGAAACTAGGTAAATGTTGCTGACTGTCCAATGACTGTCCACCTCACATTATTTTAGAGCAAACAAGATAAATAGAACATGTTCTTAATAGCATTGTTCACTGAACTGTGAACACGCTCTCTTCCATAGTGCCCTATGCATGCATATGCTTATACGTACAGCACAATGAGAAGTACATTTATTTACATGCTATGCCCTGGCTGTGCCAGGGCTTCCATTCATACAATGTGAAAGAAAACATAATAAAAGAATAAAAGTTAAAATCTTGTTCACCTTGGTTTTTTTTTTTTTTGGAAACACAGTTAAAAAATCTCACATATAACAGGTTCGCTTTTAATACCCAAATGAATAACAAACATCATCATCTACATGGTAAATGCGAGTGAAATATAGGGCATTGTGATCTTTAGCATTATAAAATAAAGTAGGAACATTGTTTACCGTATTGCTCCAGGGAGTTCGGAACATTAAATTACATTCCAGCGAATGTATATGTTGTTGTGTAAGACACTGTCAGACTCCCTCCAACCAATGCTCCATCACTTGAATAACTAGTCCCATTGCGTAGTATAAATTACCTTGTAACTTGGGTTCTTGTGCCAAAATCTAAGGATCTCATTGACTGCAGAACTTCTATACAGCCCATATACTGAAAAATAAAAATGATAGGATCAGCAAGCATTACACAATGTACACAATGACAGCATTCTGTCTTACATCACTTTTATAGCAGAGTTTCTCTACGTTAATCTTAATGTACCACAGCAATGTAGGTTTCCTGGATCTCATTATGCACTCTTGATACTGGTGGAACTTTCTTTAGCACAGATAGATCTGTAACTTGTTGTAGGGGTTATGGTACCACAAGTGACTTGGCACCCCTTCAAACCACCTACCCCCCATTGTAAGGAGTCAAAACATTTTTAAGTGCTGCACCCCTCCTCCACTTCCAACACTGGAGAGCCAGAAGTATCTAAGCATCAATGCAGAGCTTAGCATGGGATTGAGCTGACCTCTTTGTCATTAATTCCCATTATCCACTGTGATATGAACCACTCATCTGTTGCCCATCAGGTGAGAGGAGATTGATCAGGGCACCCAAGAAAGGAAGGGCCGATCCATATCAATAAGTTGCTTCCTCATTGGGAGTTTAAAGGACCACTATAGTGCCAGGAAAACATACTCGTTTTCCTGGCACTATAGTGCCCTGAGGGTGCCCCCATCCTCAGGGTCCCCCTCCCGCCCAGCGCATTCAGCCGGTCACATAGGAAAGCATTTACAATGCTTTCCTATGGACGCTGGCGTGCTCTCACTGTGAAAATCACAGTGAGAAGCACGCAAGCGCCTCTAGTGGCTGTCAATGAGACAGCCACTAGAGGAATAGGGGGAAGGCTTAACCCATTCATAATTATAGCAGTTTCTCTGAAACTGCTATAATTATGAAAAAATGGGTTAACCCTAGAAGGACCAGGCACCCAGACCACTTCATTAAGCTGAAGTGGTCTGGGTGCCTAGAGTGGTCCTTTAACCAGAGGAAATTGCAGAAATTCCTTCTGTCACGGTTTATTGTGGTAAATGGTTGATAATTGGATAATCTACTGTGTCATCTGATTTCTGTATCATTCTGCCAAGATTAAACTATTCAGTAAATATAGTGAACAATATTTCTAAATGGGCATCTTCTTCCATCAACTACACTATTAGATAGTTAGAGAGACTGATAACTAGAAAAATTGATCAATAGCTAGAAATATAGATCAATAGATAGAAAGATAGATCAATAGATAGACAGACAGACTGGATAATAGATAGATGGACAGACAGACAAATATATATATGCACTTCTATATAAAGGCAATAAGAACACATAGATAAAGTAATGAAGGTGAATACAAAACTGTGGAAATGAATTATGACAAATATGAAACAAAATGTGGCCTAAAATTATAAAATGGGCCATTAAAAAAATAGATAGACATACTGCATGAATGATTTATCTGTAAAGGTCACCAGAGCTTCTCCTTCTCCTCACAGCATGATCCACATCCTATATATCCTGTACTTTATCAGCCTGCTACACGGGATGGTGCATTATTTAGATTAGGTGCTTGGGGGTCATTCCTTCCATAATGTGTTCCTGAAACTTAGTGAACAATGTCAAGCTTTTCACTCTGTCTGTGCAATACCTCCTTGTGAAACCTCTAGGCATCTAGAATTAATATTCACATTGAAAGTTCTTCCGTTTCCTAATAAAAAGACCCATCCGTCGCAACCCAGCAGTTGTGCTCAAATTAACGTGAAGCAGTAGAACAGACCTAGGAGAATGTATACTCTGAAACACAGAACACAGACACCGCCATAAAACACCTGCATAGCGAGGACAATCAGATAGCTTGCTAATGTACTATACTTAATAAAGCAAATGAAAACATGAAATACCCAAATTAATTTATAAAGAATCTCCACACACTGAGTGGAAGCCAGACATATGTGGTATCTCTCTCACTGGTATGTGTTCAGAAAGGTCACTCGAAGGCGAACATACAGTGAAAAATTCAAGAGCAGACACAGGTGACCTGTTTTTCTGTTAACAGTGACAATAAAGGACTCGGGACGTTTAAACATGTTTTAATAGCTAAAAAATAATTGTATGCAAATGATGTTCCCAAGCACTACGTGGAGCCTCAGATTTGATTCACTGTTCTGCCCCATTATGTTTTGGGCTAGGACAAGCAAATAAAATGAAGACTGGTACCACTGATTGGTAGATATGTACCATTTCCCTTTCTGAGTGTTTTGTAGTTGTGGGATTAAATGCATCCTTAATGGGACACTCTAACCACCAAAACCACTACATCTTGTATGTAGTGATCTTAATGCATCGATCCTTTCCCTGCAGTCTGACAATCGAAAGCCCTGTCATTTGTTAGAAAAGGCAATGTTTACATTTGTCAGTAATGATATCTCTAGTGATTGTCAATCAGGCAATCAGTCATTCAGATAGCCACTAAAGGTACTTATTTTTGCAGACTTTGAATAATAGAAAGTCTTCACATTTGGTGTCTCAGTGCTTCTCATAGAGTAGCAGGGGATTCAAAGTTTCTCTATGAGATCTCAGTTGCAGCAGGAGACTATTCAAAACTATTTTTGTAAGGGGTCGGGAGAACACATATCCTGAGTAAGAAACACGCTAACAAGTAAAATGAATAAATTACAGGTGGGGAACAGCCAGCAGCAAATTTGCACGGTGATTCCTTGACCCAGCATATTTTGATTTATACGAGTAATGACTATAACCCCAACACGTTTGATATCATGCTAAACATCATGCGCCAATAACGCCATCTCCCTTATTTTGTCATTCAAACTTATAGCACTTGGAAGCAGAACATTTTAAGGTTGTAACCAATCCCCTGCTTTCACATATTATTAAATAATGTAAATCAGGTTTTATTTGAAGTTAGGCTTTGCCTTGCCACCTGTCCTAACCCCCTGATTCCCTTTACAATTTGTTATCCAAAAACTAAGCCCTGCTTCCATTCTATTCTGGTCATTCTATACCTTTATTTCTTTATTTTCTTTTCCCACATGTACTGTAGATAGAACAATAACACAATGTAAATCCATTTCTTTTTATTTTGGCATTTTTGGGGAGAAAGGCATTTGCCCAAAAATGTGATACACTACTCCCATAGGGGTAAATAATTTGCCAGAGTTCCCATGAGAGCTACTTTTCAGCCAGCCTTAGAGAACATTTCAATTATCATTTAAATAATACTAAACATATTAAATGCTTGAAAGAGACAAAATAATAAACGTTTTGTTCCTTCTCTATTCTATTTTAACTTTAAGCTTACGTTCCCCATTACTACAGGGTGACATGCAGCTTCTCCCTAAACAATGGAAGGCCGCATCTTGTATATATATTCATTATGTATTCTAACTGTATTAGCTCTTAGCCAGCATCTCCCCTATGTCATTGATAAAATGAAGTATTCAGACGAGTAGGTGAGTCATGCTCTGAGATCATATGATAATGTGTGAGAGCTCACTTGCATATATTGCCTATGCGTAGGAAGCTGCTCTAAATTAAGTGAAGAAAATCAATATGAGAAATACCCATTAAAGAATAGTGCTTGGTGCTATATATATTTACAGAATGTGCTTTTAACCCACAGATTTAGCACGTTTCGCAATCTTTGCTAAGATAAAAGATTCAGTAGCAGCAATATCCTAAGGTAAACCATAGTAGATCGCAAAATCCCATTTTTGTTTTAATTACTAAGACATGTTTCTCATATGTGTCATTTTTATTAAAACCACACCATTTACATATATTTTCAGGTTTTTGTGTTTTTATTTAATAATGATTTTGGGTGATGTACATTTTCTGCCTATACTTTATGTAAAAAGAAAATGACTAATCAACGCCTTAATTAATGAAGGTGAATAGAAAATTGCTCTAGGTTTCAGTGGGAATATTTACAATTAATGAACATTGTGACGTATGTTGTCGATGCACTCCCCCCCCCGTATGACATTCTGTGAATGTGTAAGACTCACCTATTAGAATTTGTGACTTCAATCAGATGGATCTCAAGGGATGAGAGAGAGTATTTAATCAAGTAAGTATTTAGTGTCAGGAATAGTTAAAGCAACACAAATTCAGGTAAATTAACATATAAAATATTCAGTTACTTTATTTGTTTAATTGTATTTATTTGGTGGCACAATACAATAAAAATTATAATTGTGTGCAGGGAATGAAAGTCTTTAAATTGTCACCTTAATTGCGACCCCAACCTTGAAAAGCACAAGGCTGTATTGTAGGTCACAGACAATACTCTGTCCTGAAACCCAAACATAAATAATTTAATTTCACATCTTCTCATGAACATTCTATGTCCTGATTGGCCAACAAATATGCCATCTCACTTGGAAACCACAACTATATGATTAGCTGATTGGACTAGCTACGTCCTAATGTTCAGAGCTAGCGTTAACCTGGATCTCACGTCACAAATGACATGTCGTAGTCTTTGTTGTCATTGTTTACATATAAATTCAACCTTTTTTCTTTTGACTGTAATCATGTAATCGTCTCTAATAAGTCATATTCTGGTGTTTATGCTTTATTTTCCTTCACTCTTGCCCATTAAAAGCATTATAAATATTATACATATTTTTTATTTTTTGAATGACAGCTCAAAATTTATTTATTTTACCTGCTAAAGAGAATTTTTGAAACGCAATCATGATCTATTTAGAAATTGATTGTATTATGTAAGAACATGTGTCATCTCTTCTTGTGCAATATTTGGCCAGTCCATGCTCCTATAAAATATATCTGTAAGTATGAGTCATTGATGGTATGACTCACTCAAGTTATCTCTCTTCCTGTTTTTGTTTAATGGTAACAATAAGCTAGCACCAGGAAGGTACCAATTTCGACCAGTTCCCAGTGACTAATGTTTGATCTACATTTAGATGTGAGGTGTTTGTGCAAAGGTAGGCAGCCCTCGGCACTCAAGATGTTGCAGACTACATCTCCCATAATGCTCTCACAGCCATAATGCTGGCAAATCTTCAGCTGAGATGTAGTCCAAAATATCTGCAGTGCCGAACATTGCCTACCCCTGGCCTAATGCTTAGTATTTATTTTTTACCAGTTTATCATCAAACAATATCTGGACTTTCACTTTAGGAAACTTTTAAAAGCAACAGTAATTTATTTGAACTGTTCCCTTTTATATAGGTGTGTATTACAGAATTTTAACAATATATCTATATATGTACTTATACATGTCAATCGTATCATTTATCAATAGTAGGTTTTTAAATTCTAATAGAAGCACCTACTCACAACGTGGGGATATTACAGGTGGTCTAGCACCTAGTTTTTAATTGATTAACTCTAGAGATATTGTGCAGAAATATCATTTTCAACTAATAAAGGGCTGTACAGGTCTTTGAATGATGCCTGTTACTTTTATGATTGTATATATAAAGTACTGCTCAGCGGTATTTACGGGGAATGTAAAGCAGTGTGTATGGGTTTATGCCAATGTGCCTCTCCATCTTGCAAGTGATCCATAAGCGTAGGGTCATACAGGGGTATTAACTACTAGGGCTGATCCTTGGGTCATGGGCGCATGGGTGCAAATGTTGTTGTTTTTTGTGTATCCCCTAGTGGGCGTGGTCATCTTATGAACTCCTCCCCTTTACAAATGTCCAGTCCAGATATGCATGTTTTTATGGCAACAGCTCTACCTCTCCATCTATAAGCCCCAGCTGTTTTTGCTTTGACAATATGTGTGCAGGTGACAGTGTGTTGGAGGGTGACAGTGACAGTGTGTTGGGGGGTGGCAGTGTGCAAGGTGGTTGTATGTTAGTGACCAGCCTCCCCATACTGAAATACTTTTTTTAAATCTACTAATCGATTCCCAGGTGGTCCAGTGTCTTTCTCCCTGGTAGTCCTGTGGAATTGCTATTTGGTCTGCAGCTCCGCGGAGTTGTAGGCAGTGTGGTTGAGATCTCACAAGCTCCAGCACTTGAAGTGTTGCCATGGTAACACACAGCAACGTTCTGATTGACCGAGCTCGTAAGATCTCTACCCCATGGTCTGCAGCTCTGCACCTGTCAGAGCTTCAGACCAGAGGTGATAAGCTCTCTAGCCCAGGCAAACCGAGTGAAGGGGTAGCGCACCTGGCGGCATAGAGGGCAAGCTTTCGCACCCCATCCAGCTATCAGGCCCTCAGTCACGTGTGCCAAGCGCCCCCTTCTGCCTTATTTTTATTTATGTGCTTTTGTGCATTGTGCTCTTAAAGTTATTCTTGCATATACGGTGTCCTTTAAGATTGTTCCTTCCAGATCTATTCTTAATACATGTGAATTATGTTCTTACTAGTTAGTAGTTAGCCCTCCACCCCATAACACTCTATTAAACAAGTTATAAATAATACATTACAAACTTACCTAGAATCCAGCACTGAAAATCCTCTGCTTTTGTTTTGCACTCCCCCGTCGACATCACAGCCTCTCTCATAAGGTCCAATCAAATGCTTCTCATAGAGATGCATTTAATTTGACCATTTTAGGGACTGAAGGATTTGGGAGGTGGACAATGGAGGGAGGGAATATTCAAAAACAAAACAAAAACAAAAAGCATGCTTTGAATATTGCAGGGAGGAGGGAACGGCAGTGAGGGCTAAAATAAAGAAGGGAGAGACAAAGGAAAGGGACATTCAAGCTTCCCTCTGCAGACACTGCCTGCAAGGATAGAAGCTGATAATGGCTGTCACCAGCAGAGTCACATGTGCCAGGGGTACAATTAGCTCCGGCACAAAATATTTCTCCATATGTGCAGTGTCTCAAGAGGAAATGCTGCACATACAGACCACCATGAACACTTCTAAATGCAGAAGTGGTCATGGTGGTTGGAGTAATCTTTAACTAAAATTCATATTAACACACAAAGAACTGCAGTATACTTTGAAAATATTAAAAAAACGTTTTGCCCACCTACAGTGCATTCCTTATACTTTACTTTGATTTATCTCTCTCTGTTTAATTCCTTTCAGTAGTTTATTTTATCCTGACTAGAGGTTAATTAATTAGAATGGCATATAGATACAGCTTTGTTGTATTTTCTGTGTTTATTACAGTGAGGTAGGTGATCTCCACTTTAAGTTCAGGCAACTTACAAAACCGCATTGACCGCGTGAGTGATGGTTGTGCTCAGCCATCATTTAAGATAAAACTCAGTGAAGGTTTAGAAAAGGAAGAGAGCTGATGTTTGAGAAACAAACTAACATTCTAATGTTGCCACTGGAAACAGAAATCCATATACCAAACAAAAGATACATTGGAGAGAAGGAAAAACACAAAGTCAACATGTACTGGACGGGGAAAGAAAGGAACACAGGAATGCTTTATATTCTAGCAGTGTGGACAGTCAATGAGGGTAGGACCAGAATATTGTAGGTTTGTAACTCACGGCCCAGTCGATATACAGTGTATCAAGGAACATGGAAAACAGAGAACCAAATTATCTTAGGACTGTTTGAGTCATGGGAGAACTTGGATCTGTTTAGAACTAGTGTTTGTGAGAACTCATTGAGGCCCATATGCAATTATGGTAATTTGAAAAACCTTAGCAATATTTTGAGCAGAGCAGATAAGATGGAGCAATTCTCCAATTCACCACTGAATATTCACCATTGAATTTATATTCTAATAAGAAATTGTGATCTCCAAGTAACCAGAACTTGCTATTCAATGGACACCAGGGTCTTTTACGTACACACCAACTTATCTAATTAAACCCATCAAACAAGATACAATATATTGTACACATAATTATAGCATAGGTAATTATACACAATGGAGGTACAATTCCTCCCAGGATATGCTCAATCAGGGATGGGTGTCCTGTATGTCCTGTGTTCTGTTAGGTGCACTTCCAAGACAGACTATGTGCTGCTATTGACTTATCCTCACTTTCAGTAGATTGTATTTTATAGATCAAATGCACCTCCATTTCCCAAAGCTCCAGCAAGCAACCTTGAGATACTTGGATCTAAAGGTTCATATATATTTTTTCGTGATGTCAATACATGTACATTTCCAAACTTAAAGTAGTCAGACAAACAAATCTCCTAGCACTCAAGGTTAATGTATACACTTCAAATAGTACATTGAGATATTTACCACAGGTCATCTAAATAGGAAGAATTCTGATTCCTGTGATAAAAGTTAGTTTTATCATCACATTCTACAGAGAACATTTGTTGTTAAACCCAGTGATAATTTCTAGCTCAAGCTTAGATAATTAGAGTTAAAATAATTAATCCCATAACTAAAAAGAAAAGGTTCTTATGGTGTGTGTATGTATGTGTGACATCAGCCACCAGTGGGCAGAGGCATATTATTATTATTATTATTATTATTATTATTATTATAATATTAATATAGCACCAACAAATTCCATAGCACTTTACAATGGGAGGACTAACAAACATGTAGTTGTAACCAAACAAGTAGAACACACAGGAACAGAGGGGTTGAGGGCCCTGCTCAATGAGCTTACGTGCGAGAGGGAGTGGGGTAAAGTGATACAAAAGATAAAGGTAAGGGTATCTACTGAAGATAGCCTCTATAGCGGGCACTGAAATTGCACTCCTCACGGCCCCTGTTTAAAGGAAGTCATTACTGAGGTCTGCACGTGCCAGAGGTGCAAACCTCATGCTGCCAGCGCTGATCCCCCTCGCTAAAATGATAAACAAGCACCCCTTCAATCAAACACCAACACAACACAATAAAGGACACTGCATTGAAAAGCAACACTACATACAAACACACCCCTGTATTCAAACACAAATACTACTCAGAAATACACAACTGCATTCCAATGGCAATAGTACATACAAATACATCCCTACATGCACACATATACTCCATACAAAAACATGCGTACATTTAAACGCACAAACAACTGCTCACAAATAGAACAAGAATGGGCAAATGGTTGATCCCCAGCTGATAAAGCATCATTGGAGTTGTAGGATTAGATTCTACCTTTTGGCCACCCTTGCACTAGAGGGGACCCAAAAAACGTTCTTGCCCTCTCTACATTGTCTAGCATTATGTACCTGCAGTGGCGTACACACGACCCATGGGGCCCCGGTGCGAAAATTTATCCGTGGGCCTGCCCCCCGCGCTTACTCTGCACGGGCCGGGCCGCAACACATGGCAGCGGGCACCTGGTCGCAGGGGTTGCAGGGGTCGCAGGGCTGCGACCCCTACGACCGCGTTATGTAAGCCAGCCGCGTTATGTAAGCCAGTGCATGCAGATGCACACACACTTAAAGGACCACTACAGACACCCAGATCACATCAGCTCGATGAAGTGGTCTGGGTGCCAGGTCCCTCTAGTTTTAACCCTGCAGCTGAAAACATAGCAGTTTCAGAGAAACTGGTATGTTTCACTGAGGGTTAATCCAGACTCTAGGGGCTGTCTCACTGACAGCCGCTAGAGGCGCTTCCGCAATTCTCACTGTGAAAATTTGAAGGTGAGAGGTGGATCGGGGCGGAGGGATCTGGTGCTGGAGAAAGGTAAGTGCTGAAGGGGTTTTAAACACACACACTCTCACAAACAGACCCATACACACTAGCTAACAGCCACACACATTTACTGACAGAGACACACTCAGCAACATACATACATACTCACTGACAGACAGACACACATACACACTCACTTACAAAACATACACTCTCACTGACAAACACACACTCACTAACAGACATCAAACAGACTCACTAACAGACACACACTAACACACTCAGTAACAGACACACACACAGTAACACACTCACTGACACACACACACTCACTGACCCACAAACTAACACACACACTGACACTCACTAGCAGACACACACTCAATAACAGACACACAAACTAACACACTCACGTACACTCACTAGCAGACACACACTCAATAACAGACACACAAACTAACACACTCACTGACACTCAGTAGCAGACACACACTCAATAACAGACACACAAACTAACACACTCACTGACACTCACTAGCACACACACACACAATAACACACCCACACACACTAACACACACTAACACACACTAACACTAACATACACACACACACACAGACTAACACACACACTAACATATGTTTTTTTTGAATTTTTATCCCCCAGCCTCCTTACCTTTGGGAGAGCTGAGGGGATTCCCCGGGGTCACCGGGCTGTCTGGCTGTCGTGCGCGCGAGGGAGCACTCTCCCCTGAGCGCTCTCTGCCCAGCTCCCTTGCGCGCCGCGTACTGATGACAGAAACTGCTATGTTTCACTAAGGGTTAATCCAGCCTCCAGGGGCTGTCTCACTGACAGACACTAGAGGCGCTTCCGCAATTCTCACTGTGAAAATCACAGTGAGAAGACGCTGGACGTCCATAGGAAAGCATTGAGCATGCGCATTCGGAGCTGAGAGGCAGATCGGGGCGGAGGGATCTGGCTCTGGAGAAAGGTAAGTGTTTAAGGGGTTTTAAACACACACACTCTTACAAACAGACGCATACACACTAGCTAACAGACACACACATTTACTGACAGACACACTCAGCGACATACATACATACTCACTGACAGACAGACACACATACACACTCACTCACAAAACATACACTCACTGACAAACACACACTCACTAGCAGACATCAAACAGACTCACTAACAGATGCACACTAACAGACACACACTAACACACTCAGTAACAGATAGACACAGTAACACACTCACTGACACACACACACACTCACTGACACACAAACTAACACACTCACTGACACTCACTAGCAGACACACACTCAATAACAGACACACAAACTAACACACTCACTGACACTCACTAGCAGACACACACTCAATAACAGACACATAAACTAACACACTTACTGACACTCACTAGCACACACACACACACACACACTAACACACACACACACACTAACACACACACACACTAACACAAACACATGTTTTTTTTTTAAAAAACATTTTTATCCCCTAGCCTCCTTACCTTTGAGAGAGCTGAGGGGATTCCCTGGGGTCCAGTGGTGCTGCTGGGCGGCCGGTCACCAGGCTGTCTGGCTGTCGTGCGCGCGAGGGAGTCACTGACAGCCGCTAGAGGCGCTTCCGCAATTCTGAAAATCCCAGTGAGAAGACGCTGGACGTCCCTAGGAAAGCATTGAGTAATGCTTTCCTATGGGCGGTTTGAATGCGCGCACGGCTCTTGCCTTGCATGCGCATTCGGAGCTGAGAGGCGGATCGGGGCGGAGGGATCTGGCACTGGAGAAAGGTAAGTGCTGAAGGGGTTTTAAACACACACACTCTCACAAACAGACACATACACACCAGCTAACAGACACACACATTTACTGACAGAGACACACTCAGCGACATACATACATACTTACTGACAGACAGACACACATACACACTCACTTACAAAACATACACTCTTACTGACAAACACACACTCACTAACACACATCAAACAGACTCACTAACAGACACACACTAACACACTCAGTAACAGACACACACAGTAACACACTCACTGACACACAAACTAACACACACATTGACACTCACTAGCAGACACACACTCAATAACCGACACACAAACTAACACACTCACTGACACTCACTAGCAGACACACACTCAATAACAGACTCACAAACTAACACACTCACTAGCAGACACACACTCAATAACAGACACACAAACTAACAGACACACTAACTCTAACATACACACACACTAACACTAGCACACACACACACTAACACATTTTTTAAATTTTTTTATCCCCCAGCCTCCTTATCTTTGGGAGAGCTGAGGGGATTCCCTGGGGTCCAGTGGTGCTGCTGGGTGGCCAGTCACCGGGCTGTCTAGCTGTCATATTCCGGCTCTGGCATCACTGCGGTGCGAGAGGGAGCTGGGCAGAGAGCGCTCAGGGGAGAGTGCTCCCTCGCGCGCGTGCCAGCGAGCCCGGTGACACCAGGGCCAGCCTCGGGGGGCCCTGAGGTGGCCAGCTCCTGTGTTTCTGTGTGTTTTGCATTGTGTACCTTTGTATGTGCCTGAGCATTGTTGTGTGTGAATGTGTGTTTCTGTTTCAGTGTGCATGTGTATGTCTTTATCTGGGAGTGTATGTGTGGGATAGTTGCTTGCGTTGTGTTGCTTGTAAGGGGAGCTGCTTGTGGATTTTGTTGCTTTATGTTTATGCTCAGGCTGTGCTTCATGTGTGGGAGGGAGTGACAGCTTTTGGGGGATTAGTATGACACGGTGAGGGGGATGAGGGCAACAGTTGAGGAGGTGAATGTGACAGAGTGAGGGGAATTTGTATGACAGGGTTGGGAAGGTGAGAGTGACAGAATTGGAGATGGGTGAGTGTGGCAAGGTAAGAGGGGGTGAATTTGGAACGGTGAGGGGTACAGGATTAGTATGGCAGGGTGAGAGGGGAAGTGAGTGTGACTTTGGGAGAGTGTGATATGGCTGAAGGGGTGAATGTGATTGTGAGTGATTGTTACAAGATGAGGGGTGGTGAGTGTGACAAAGTTGGGGGCAGTGTGATAGGGTTGGGGGGATGTGATAGTAACTTATTGTGACAGGATGAGGGGTTGTGAGTGGGACAGGGTTGGGAGTGAGTGTGGTAGGGCTGGGGGAGGAACCTAGAGCAGGTGCCCTACCTGCCATAGCATAGGTACGCCACTGCACGTGGGACAGCTTAATGTAGTGGTTTTGGGACAAAGAGACTGTCCCTGCAGGCTCAGCAGTGTAAACAATGACTTGTCTAAGTAAAAAGGAAACGTTTACACTGCTAGCTAATGCCACTTCTAGTGTCAGTCACTTGGACAGTCTCTAAAGGTATTTCCTGGTTGAGGTCCTACAAAAATTGCTGGACCGAAGTTCGGCGTTACCACACTGAATGGAGTCACCAAACACTCCCCATAGAGATACACTGAGTCAATGGAGATGCTGATTGCTGCAGTGCACTAAACCTCACAATGCTTCCCTAAGGAGAAGCATTGGATTGGCCAAGGTCATTAGTATTGATGATCTCATCCAGTGGAGGTGGGGAAGGCCACTGTGAGACTGGTACACTGGGACAAATAAGGTAAATAACATGCTTTATTTTGCTAAAAGGATTACTCCAAGCACCATGACCACGTAATGACAATGGTGCCTGGAGTCTGTATGTGCATTGTTCCATAGTATTTTACTATTTAACACAGAATTTGCAGATGGAGGTGGAACTTCAACTCCAGCAGGATCATTGGGGAGTCATTAGCCAGAGTGGAACAAGAGTTCTGGGCTGGCAAATCCCTCTAGAATGTAAGCTCGTTTGAGCAGGGCTCTCAACATCCTCTATCCAGTACGTCTTGTTGGTTTGTCCACCAATTGTACAGAGCTATGGAATTTGTTGGCGCTTTATAAATAATAATTATATTAATATAAATTATGTATGAATTTGGTGTCTGTCATCAGCATGCTGGCAATAGGCAGCCAGAGTCGGCATGCCTCTTTTCCAGGCCACCCATGACCTCCCCATGCATCCCCCCACCGGCAGCTGGGGAAGTGGAGGAGGATTAAAGCTGGGGAAGTGGAGGAGGATTAAATGAGGGGAGATTTGTCTCTAAAAGAGATCTCCCTGCTTGGCCTTGTGCCTCCTTAACTTTGCTGAGGGAACATTGTGGTCTGTACCAATATCATGTACAGTCCACTTTCAGAGTGCTATACTGGTCCTCCGTAGCGTCTCGATTACTTATAGCACTGCATTTGGCTCTGTGTCATAGTCTGAGCACTATTACAATGATGGCCCCCTTAAAGTGATCTGTAGCTGATATTGGTGCATACGATGGAGCCCCTCCACTGGACCACCAGGGATGCAGCTCACACTTCACTGGTGCACCAGGCACACACACAACACTCAGACTCCCCTACACACACAATTCATCCACCACACGCAACACTCAACTAGCACACACAGACACTTTGAGCCACCCCCATACAGCTTTCACCATTCTCCACACACAACAACCAGCCACTACACACACACACATTTGGTAACATGGTTTATTATAAAGTCTCCAGATCTCCCTAATGGTATATATAGTAAAAAACAACTGGCTTGTTTCAGTCCCCTGATTTCCTACCCAGATAAGGACTGGTTTACTTTGATTTGACTTTTGCTAGGCCTTTTTTGTTTTTCACTGTGAGATAACATATGTATCGATCACCTTCATGCATACTCTCTTTTTTACCTTACCATATAATTCTAATTTCATTTTAAAATAGCTTCTTTTTTTTTAGTTAGAACCATCCTCTCCAAAACATCCCCCCATGCTTACTGAAAAGCCTCACTTATTCTGTTATATGACTTGTAAATTTATTTGGACAACTCAATAAACATTGATTTACCCCCCAGAAAAGCGTAACTTACCATAGACACGTTAATAGACGCACTCGCTTAAATGCATCTTTGTATCTAATTAGGATATTATTATGGAATGCCAATGTTTTTTAGGAAAAGTAATACTCAATGAGACTGATGCTACTGGTTTCCATGGTGACTGCTCCATATTTAGCACTTACCCCAAAATATTGTCTTGTTTTTCGTTGATAAATAAGGCAGTGAGGATATTCTCTGTGGGCATAAAGCCTCAAGCACTTTTATCGTTTCTCTCCAAGAGAACAAAATAGAAGTCATATGAGTTTTAGAACTGATTCTGATAAACATTCTAACATTTGGGGTATATTTACTAAAATGTGAATCGTGCAGATCTGATGATGGGATGTTCCCGCTTCACCAATGTATTCCTAAAACCTGCAGTTCCTATGTCAGTTCCAAGTTAACGCAACAATCCTTTAACTATTAGGATAAAGTGTTGGAGGAATAAAAGTGAAGAGTTTAGTAGGTGTTTAATCAGGCAGTTATATGTGTTTTTCTTTCTTTTTTTTACCTGTGAAATATAAATTTAATAGACTGCAAACAAAAAACAAGTGTCCCACCTGGTTTGCCCAAAATGAAACCCAAACCTGATTTTGCTTCTTTATGGATAGTTTCTTTTGAGCATATTCCAATATTTTCTGACTTCTATTAGTGCAATAGACTCTGCTATATCCCCTAGAGGTCTATAGACATGGTATCTACTACTATACTTTCTACAAAGTAATATTTTCTCAATTCAAGTTTCAGTCTTCACCATCCTCTTTAAAGTCTTTTATTTCTACTACTTTATTTAAAAAAAATATATATTTTCTATACAATTCAATATTATCCATTTAAACGGTTCTAATGTGTATTTTCTTACCTTGGTTCATTTAGTGGGTAAATAAAAATTTCCTGATATTAAGTATAAATCACATGATCCTCACCTTGCAGCTGATCTAAAACATCTATACCAAGACAACAAGTTAATAATCACCTACGACCACCTAAACTCCCTCGCACCTCTGACAACCCGAGATTTCTTCCGCTATATACAAATTCGTGACTTCGCACAAACCAAGGAAGTTAAGACAGCAATAACTAAACAACTGACGTTTTTCGAACGCATATGCCTCAAAGAATGCATGCCTGCAAAATTGATATATATCATGTATAGCCACATAGGAACAGAATCCGGGGAATGGGGCACACTACATTACACGGACAGATGGGAGGCAGACTTGGGAGAGACCTTAGAAGGAACAGACTGACAAGAAATATGGGAAGTGTGCTCCAAAGTATCCATATGCACCACACTACAGGAGCAGGCGTATAAAACACTATTCTGGTGGTACATCACCCCGGTCAAACAATGCCACATGGGAATCTTTCCCACAGACACTTGGTGGTGACTGTGTGGAGAAAAGGGCACAGACATCCACATGTGGTGGCAATGCTCCAAAATACGCGCGTACTAGAAAGAAGTGACAGAAATGAACTCCCACATATTACAAAAAAGACTAACCCTGGAACTATGGTCATGCCTACTATCCAGACCGACCGGCGGACTAGACAAACACGAACAGAGACTATTAAATATGCTAAATCTAGCAGCACGAAGAGCGCTGGCGCAGCATTGGATAAAACCTGAAACCCCACCTCTTACATTAGTGCAGACACAAATTAGAGACAACTGCCTAATGGACAAACTGACAGCCCAAGTCCGAAACACCACGACCACCTTCCAAAAAGTGTGGGTGTTATGGGAACAATTCGATATATAATACCCGCTCACCGGGGGGGGACTACAACGAAAATTATCAAATAGCTCAGCATCCCAGAGAAAGTGCAGATCACAGGGACCTGGGCCCGGACAGGGAAACACTAGCAAAACGACAAAACAGGGTATTAGAAACAAGAGCAATGATCACTCGTCTCAAAAACCACACGGAAACACACCTCACTTGTACCTACTTAACGATCTTTTTCTTTTTCCTTTATATACGTTATGTTATACATGTATACAAAAAATGGAAAAATAGACAGATACCAAATGACTCTTTTATACCAATGGGCTTCTGCGTAAGCCACGAACTGAATCAATACCGCACTGTGACTGTCTTTGCAAAACTAAAGAATTGGCCCCGTGAACTTATATTTAATTTAATGTGATCGACAGACCTGTACACATTACAGGTGTAAACTAGCAATATTTTGCTCTGTAATATATTCATGTTTGAACAATTAATTACTCACTATGACGTAGTAGGAGAGACCGGGGCTCCCATTGTTTCGACCTATCTGCTGTGCACAAGTCTGCCTCTTAGCAAGTGGTGGTTTTTCAATGTCCATCAGAAGGCAATCATTTTGGTTCTTTGTATTCGCGTCCATTTCTACACCCTGTCTTGAAAGAGTAGCTTGTGAGGAGCTGTTTAAAGCGGTCTCTGCAGATGTTGTCTGATCCATTAGGGTAGAGTTATCTGGCAGTTTCACTTTTGATGTTTCTTTGGCCCCCAGAGAAAAGTGTTTGAAACCCAGCAAGTTGACTGGGCTTGAAATTTTAAAATGAGACATTTTCGGTATTAAGGTACATAGCGTTGTTGAAGTATCCGGAGTTACCAAGGCAATACTGTCAAGGGGTAAAGAGGAAGTAGCAGATGTGTGACAGTCAGCCCCAGCCTTGGCATTTAAAGATACGCTCTGCGTACCATCTTCCGTAGAGGTTAATGAGTCATTTCTGAATCTACTGTACTTTGACCGTTGAAGCATTACTGGATACGTAAAGACGGTTTCGTGCAATATGCCCCCTCTGTGTAGACCGTGTTCTCTCATAGCCTTGTCGAAGTCGGTGTACGGTTCGAACTGCACAAAACTTTTTTTAAAAAAGCCACAAAACTACCGTATTTTAAATCTAACAGGCCCTGCTAAATGAAGCAATAATCCTATATATATATATATATATATATATATATATATATATATGAGAAAAATGTTCACACACGCTTAAAAAAAAAAAAATATATAGCGCACATAACAAAATTATTACTGTGTTATAATCGATTGTTGCAAGTCGTCAATTCCTGGAAAATTATCAAAAAATGTCCATGGTTATGTAAGGATATTTAGTAATATAGGTGTCACTTGTCTTTGTCGTCTGTCCCGAACGACTCTCAGGCTATAAGTCGATAAACATGTCATAGTCAATAAATAAATACATTTTAGGGGTGCTGACAGAAAGTGGAACAAAAAAACAAACAATCCAGGAGCAACAGTATCAAAGAAGAGTTTGTTCAGGTTTGTAATGAGGAGTATAATTTGTATCCAGATATCCAGCAAAATAAAAATTCTGTCTGTTATAGTTCTTCATGTTCTGATCGAGACATAGCACAGTTGAAACATTCTGTAGTTGGAGAGTTTGGAGGCGTTGTGGTTTTACATGAATGAACTTCCCTGAATGAATTAGTCCTTGTGTTCGCAGGCTATGGATCTGTGAATGGAGCTGAGAATGGCTGCAACTGACTCACAGTCCCAAGGGAGTTCAGCCTTCCTCCAATAGCAAGAAAGCAGAATGACTCATACACCACCTAAACATCGAGCTACTATCTGCTTCTTTGGGAAATTCTGTATGCATGCATCTTTTTGTACACTCTGCAGGATAGAAAGATTGACAGATAGACAGGCAAGCCAGGCAGACAGACAGACAGACAGATTATTTCACCTTCACTGATGTTTTTTTTACCTTAATACACCATTCACAAGTATACATTGATTTTTATTTCTGCTGCTTTGACCTGAAATACAATAAATAAAATGTTTTGACTAATAAATTCAATAAATTAAGTGCCAACAATTTACTCTGTGTGAATAACCTTGCACGTGAATCACTTCTTTATACAGCTGCTCCTTTTATAAGCTCTGTTCTTTTCCCAAGAGTGGGTTTAAAGGGACGCTATTGCCACCCACACCAGGTCATCTCATTGAAGTGGTCTGGGTGCATTGTCCCCATCCTTTTAACATTGCAGGGTTAAGTCCACCTCCAGTGGCTGCCACTGATTCACTGCTTTCCTATGAGAAAGTTTTAATAAGTGCGATTTTAGGTCCCAATTAGACTAAATAATGGAGGAGGCAGACAATTTCCTCCGTGACATTGCGGGGAGGAAGAGGTTAGCAGCTCTGAGATAGCCTCGGACCTGGAACAAAGTGAGTAAAAAAGGTGTTTTAACACTTTATCTGCCAAATGGGGAAGGGGAGACCTAATACCACTAGGGACAGGGACACAATAATGTTAGTAATACAGATTTGTATATAGTGTTCCTTTAAATGACTTTTAGCAGCGGCAGTTGTTAGAACTACAACTTAAAATGGGGGGGGGCAAAACATAAATAATAATAGGAAACATTTCCCCTAAAACACATGTGCAAGTATATATATATACACACAGAGTCATAGCTCACACTATAACACTTTTACTGCGCTGGAGAAATTGCTAATTTACAGCTACGGCCTCCAATTGTATACCAACATGTATGCGTGATTTTCCTAGACGTGAAGGTGCTAGAATGTGGTCATTTAAAGCAATGGATCCTACCGTGCAGTATGATTGTGAAACTGACAATACAGTATCAAACTGTTGTAGAACTAATAGAGAGGGCCCTGGTGCAAGAATATCTTTTTGTCCCCTGTCTAGCGCAAGAGTGGCGAAAAGATAGATTTCCATCTGTCGTACAACTCCCACCATGCTATGCTAGCTGGGGATTGTAACATATTCTTCCTCACCTTGCGGTCAGCGGCCGTGCATCTGCATGACTATCACTTGTGGCATGTTAATGGACGCGGGCCTCTGTGGATCCACGGCTAATTATACCCCCACGTCCGCTCACGTGATGGACGACGTTGGCGTGCATGTGACGTCACAGGCGCGCTGCGCACGCACGTTTTGGGGTCAAAGAGCGATCTCAGCCAATCGGAAAGGTAAAGCAGGTATTTAAACCAAAAATTACCTTTCCTGATTGCCCTGTCATAGTTTCCCTAGTGGTTGTGTGAGAGTGCGTTCCTTAGTCAAGTTTATTCTGTTTTTTGACTTTGGTTTGATTTTGACTTCCCTGTATTTTGGTATCCCTGACCTCTGGCTTTCCTTAAGCTTTGTGTCCCCTGACCTCGGCAAGTATCCTGACTATTCTTTGGTACGTGAGTCCGACCATTCTTAGGCCCGGTAAAACATTACCTACTAGTCACCTGTGTAACACAATTCTACGTGCTGGATCATACAGTAATCCTGACAGGATTGTGAGCAGTGTTTGCGTATTTGAATGTAAGTGAATGTAAGTGTACTTCTGTATTCAGTATGTGTGTGCATGCATGGGGTGTATTTGTATGTACTGTTGCCACACTTCACATTTATATATTTTTCTTTTATATATGGTTAAGGAAATATATAAAAAATCCTGGTGTGGCAGAGCTCCAATACTCGACCAGAGTATCTCTGACATAGCATCTCTCCATTTCCCGCAGAGTGTTAAGTGATATGTAGCCGCCACATAAAGGCAGGGGGTCATGAACTAGAACACTGGAGATACCTCCAAGACGCTTCTGTGTCTGGGGGATAACTAGATCAAGCGCAGCTAATTAATCTCCAGACAATAGGGCGCCTTAACAGAATATCCCCAAAAAACATACGCTGTGTATGTACCCCAGCTGGTAAAACACAGCAAGAGCCAGTCCTACATTAAATAATTAAACATTCTTATGACCAGCAGATGCTGCATCTTTTTGGGGAATTAAGGGAAGGAATTTAAAGGGACACTCTAAGTACAATAACCATTGCAGCTTGTTGTGGTGGTTATGGTGACAGTAGTGCCCTGACACTACCCTGTTGTAAATAGTCAAACCATTTTAGAATGGCTTGATTTCATACCTATGATTCGCTATGTGCCGCCCTCCTTCTTCACTACTGACTGCAGTGTTGGGCTCAGCTCAGACAAGTAGTGGATGAGTGGCGCAACATTTGGTGGACCCCAGTTAGGAAGTCAAACTCTTGCTGGGCACTCATGGAAGCATATCCACCAATGTGAGCTCTGTTCCTTTAAAAGGACAGTCTAAGCACCCAGGGCCAGCGATCTTGTGTGTCTCTGAGTCAATTGCAGCTGTCTAACATGCGGGGGTCCCAAAGCACAGTTATGTCTCGGATATGATGATGTGATGTCATACATATCCGGCCACTCATAGCCTGAAAGAGAGGCAAGGGGGAGGCATAGGGAAGGCTGAGCCGTCACAGAAGGTGCTGAGTCCTCATATTGTGTGTTAGTAGGAGTGTTGCTGTATGCATGTAAGTGTTAATAATCTGTAAGAGTCAATGCTTGTTTGTGCATGAGTGTCAGTGTGTGTGTGTGTGTGTGTGAGCATTAATGTCTCTTTTATTGCATGTTTGTGTTCAGGGCCGGATTTACATGTCAAGTGCATATAGGCCCAGAATTCGAATGCGCCCCCATGAAGTGCTTCATTTTTAAGGGTAGTTAAATCTTGTCCAAGGAAAGGGTTTGTCTAGGTCAGGGGTTCTCAACCCAGTCCTCGGGACCCCCTACCAGTCCAGGATTTGGGGATTACCTGGTTGTGTCTAAGGTGTTTAGAAACACCTTAGACACACCCAGGTAATCCCTAAACCCTGGACTGGTAGGGGGTCCTGAGGACTAACGTTGAGAACCCCTGGTCTAGGTTTTGGGAGGGATTTAATTTAAGGTTGATTAGAACATGTGGAGCTTAAAGGGTTAAAACATAGAAACATAGAATGTGACGGCAGATAAGAACCATTCGGCCCATCTAGTCTGCCCAATTTTCTAAATACTTTCATTAGTCCCTGACCTTATCTTATAGTTAGGATAGCCTTATGCCTATCCCACGCATGCTTAAACTCTTTTACTGTGTTAACCTCTACCACTTCTATTCCATGCATCCACTACCCTCTCAGTAAAGTAATATTTCCTTATATTATTTTTAAACGTTTGCCCCTCTAATTTAAGACTTTGTTCTCTTGTTGTGGTAGTTTTTCTTCTTTTAAATATAGTCTCCTCCTTTACTGTGTTGATTCCCTTCATGTATGTAAATGTTTCTATCATATCCCCCCTGTCTCGTCTTTCCTCCAAGCCATACATGTTAAGAACCTTTAACCTTTCCTTGTAAGTTTTATCCTGCAATCCATGAAAAAGTTTAGTAGCCCTTCTCTGAATTCTCTCTAAAGTCACAGGCGTGCGCAGCCTATTGCATTAGGGTGTGCACCCTAAAGCACAAGCACACGCCGCGTATATATATATGTACATATATACACACACACATACGCTGCTGTATGTGTGTGTGTGCTGTGTGAGGGTGCTGTTAGTGTGATGTGTGTGTGAGGGTGCTGGTAGTGTGCTATGTGGGTGAGGGTGTTTGTGTGTGTGTGTGTGTGTGTGCGCGCTTGTGAGGGTGCTGTTAATGTACTGTGTGTGAGGGTGCTGTTTGTGTGTGAGGGTGCTGTTTGTGTGTGCGCTTGTGAGGGTGCTGCTAATGTACTGTGTGTGAGGGTGCTGTTTGTGTGTGAGGGTACTGGTAGTGTGCTGTGTGAGTGTTTCTTAGAGTCCTGTTAGTGTGCTGTGTGTGTGTGAGGGTGCTGTGTGTGTGCTGTGTGTGAGGGTGCTGTGTGTGTGGGTGCTGTGTGTGTGGGGGTGTTGTGTGTGGGTGCTGTATGTGTGTGTGGGTGCTGTGTGTGTGTGGGTGCAGTGTGTGTGTGGGGGTGCTGTTTGTGTGCTGTAAGTGTGTGTGTGCTGTATGTTTGGGTGATTTGTGGGGGTGGAGGTGGGGGCAGATTAGTTAATAAATATCCCCCCTCCCTTCTTTCCTTATGTAGGGAGGGGGGATCCTTTCTGCCTTCCCTGGTGGTCCAGTAGTGAGGGAACTCTAGCCTTCGGGGCTAGAGTTCACTTTCGCAAGATCTAAACGTTGCCGCGGCAACGCTCAGATCTCGCGAGAGGAACCCGGCGGAGCTGCTGACAAGAGCTCCCCGGGTCCTCTCCTGCCTCCCTCACTGCCTGTGGCTCGGATAGCGCCGGCACTGCATGATCCAACAGGGGAGATCCTGAGATCTCCCCTGCCGGTCTCACTCTATAGGCGTTCCGCGGGGATTAGTGTGTGCCTAATGTCTGAAGTATCAATATCCTTCTGGAGATATGGTCTCCTGTACTGCGTAAAATACTCCAAGTGAGGTCTCACCAGTGTTCTGTACAATGGCACGAGCACTTCCCTCTTTCTACTGCTAATACCTCTCCATATATAACCAAGCATTCTGCTAGCATTTCCTGCTGCTCTATTACATTGTCTGCCTACCTTTAAGTCATCTGAAATAATCAC